GAAGTGGGAGCATGTTACCATGGACTTCGTGGTGGGTCTACCACGGACAGTTAGGAACTACGACGCGGTATGGGTGGTAGTCGATAGGCTGACCAAGAGCGCTCATTTCCTACCCATCAACACTACTTATACGCTCGAGCGGTTGGCCAAATTGTACACAGATGAGATTGTGAGACTGCATGGGGTTCCGGTTACTATAGTATCGGATAGAGACCCACGGTTCACATCACGGTTTTGGCCTAAGTTCCAGGAATCCATGGGTACGAAATTGAGGCTTAGCACCGCGTTTCATCCTCAAACGGATGGGCAATCTGAACGGGTGATTCAGATCTTGGAGGACATGTTGAGGGCATGTGCCTTGGAGTTCCAGGGGAGCTGGGACAATCAGTTGGCTTTGGTGGAATTCGCCTATAACAACAGTTATCAGGCAAGTATAGGCATGCCTCCATACGAAGCATTGTATGGGAGGAAATGCAGGACACCATTGTGTTGGGACGAGGTCGGCGAGGCTAAGCTTGAGGGCACCGAGTTAGTCGAGATCACTAAGGAGAAGATAAAGGTCATACAGGATAGGCTCAAGGCTGCCCAAGACCGACAGAAGAGCTATGCTGATAAACGTCGAAGGACGTTGGAGTTTGAGGTTGGTGACGAGGTATTTCTGAGGGTATCACCTTGGAAAGGGATCATCAGGTTCCTCAGTCGGGGTAAGCTTAACCCACGTTACATAGGCCCGTTCAAAATCCTTGAAAGGATTGGGGTTGTAGATTACCGACTTCAGTTGACTCCAGAGTTAGAAAAGATTCATAATGTATTTCATGTTTCTATGCTCAAGAAGTATGTGCGGGACCCGTCACATATTCTTGAGAAACCACCGGTAGAAATCCGAGAGGACCTACATTATACGGTACAGCCGGTAAAGATCATAGACCGACAGGTAAAGAAGCTAAGAAGCAAAGAGGTGCCGATGGTAAAGGTACTTTGGAAGAGTGATCGTGTCGAGGAGCAAACGTGGGAAGTGGAGACCCTAATGAGGGAACAATATCCATTTCTGTTTGATTAGACACATGGATTTCGGGGACGAAATCCCAAATAAGGGGGTAGAACTTGTAACACCGCCCCCGAGTATTTGTACTGTACCAAATTATGTATTGAACCTTGAGAAATGTATAAAAGCATTTTTACGTGATTGTAAATTTTTATCATTTCTATTACGTGAATAGTAAAATTCACGTGGGGCCCACACCGGATGTGGGGCCGCCCGATATTATCGGGACCACATATTATATTAATCTTGGACTAGATAATATGTATATGGTGGTGGATATCCTAATTGGGCCATGACAATGGCACAAGGTTGACCGGTTGGTCAAACGGGCCAAATTATCGGTATCGGCAATTTATCAGATAACAGTCCAAAAAGGGATTACGAGAACCTATAAATTAAAGTTGGGGATTTCATAATGATTCTAAGGCCCAATAAGGATTGGGAACGAGTGTTATATTTTATTTGACCCGATAAAATAAAATATACTTAAAACAGTCCAGAAAATACAACTTTCGGGACCGGTTGTACACTCGGGTACACAAAGGGTTGACCTCCCACATGAGTGGGGGCCAACCCACGTCCTTGGTCTGGAAAACATCAAAGGGAGCCGCATGAAAGGTATGGCAATGGGAGGCTGATTGGTAGGGAGACCAATCAAACCAACCAAGGGCCCCTCCTCACATTATTTTGGGCTATTGAGACAAAAGTGAGGGGTTCCCTCCACCCACCTCCAATCAGTTCGTCCATCCCACAAGAGAGGTGAGAGAAGCTCTGCAATACTCCATTCTTTGCAGCCATTTACGCACTTGAGCTAAGGGGGAAGAAGGAGGGGAAAAGAGAAGAGGAAAAGTTGGTTTTGGAGAGGAAAACTTGTGTTTAGCAAGGTAAGGACTCCATTAATCCCATTTCTTGTTCTTCAATACTCTTTTATGATTATTCAATCATATTTTACACCCTAGTAATGTTCTACACGTTGGGATGTGTAGAAAGAGGGGTTGGAAGGTAGTTCTAAGTCCAAGAACGGACTTAGAAGCCAAAGTGACCGGTTCGCCGGAAAATAACCTTTTTGAGGTTATTTGTATTACTATGGGTTTTATCATGATAAAACCTTGTTAGTAACTTGTCTAAGGTATTCAAAGAACTTTCACGGAGTTGAAAAGGTCGCCGGAGTTGTCGCCGGAGTTCGTTGAAGTTCGCCGGAGTTTCGTCGGAGCTAAATCGGGAAGGCTAGAACTTCATAAGCTTCATTAAGGTGAGAAGACGGCTTTATGCTTTATAACTCTTGCGTGAGGCATGAGATTACCTAAAGTAATCAGGAATATGTTTTGTGGAATGATTAAAGATAACCAAGTGTGTGCTTATGCCATGATTATACATAAAACATAATTGAAAAGCATGTTATGTAGGTTTGGTGATAAAAAATGTGATAACTTCTTATGTGTGATGTTCCAGGGATCCAAAATGGTATTTTTGGATCAAGGACGTCAAGAAGTATAAGTGTATAAAATTTCACGTTAATCGGACTTCGTTTGGGCGGTCAAACGAGCGTTGACCGCCAAGACAAAGGTGATACCCGACCGGGTATGGGTGAACACCCGACCGGGTTTTGATTAAAAATGGCTCCAGAAGCCACTGCCACACTAGACCCGACCGGGTATGGGTGTAGACCCGACCGGGTCTCAAGTAAAGTTGGCTCCAGGGGCTACTGCCTCACCCAACCTGACCGGGTAAGGCTGGACACCCGACCGGGTCTTGGGTTAAGCTCAGAATGGGCAGTTTTGAGTAGGGTAACGTGGGCCGTTCGGGTGGGACCCGCCCACGTTGGATCCTAAGGATTGTTATATGACTATAGGGCTAGGCATTGTCCATAGTTAAAGGAATGAAAGGTTAGCCATATCCAGGTTAGGATTTGGTAGAGAATAGACTGGGGGTTGAGTGCCCTTGGACGGTAAATGATCCAGAATACTCCAGGTGGGGTCGAGTACCCTTGGACGGTAAATGATCCAGAATACTCCAGGTGGGGTCGAGTACCCTTGGACGGTAAATGATCCAGAATACTCCAGGTGGGGTCGAGTACCCTTGGACGGTAAATGATCCAGAATACTCCAGGTGGGGTCGAGTACCCTTGGACGGTAAATGATCCAGAATACTCCAGGTGGGGCCGAGTACCCTTGGACGGTAAATGATCTTAAATACTCCAGGATGGGTTGAGTGCCTTGGACGGTAAATGATCCTAAAACACTCGGTAGTATGAATCAAAGGTAGACTATAGCTTGTGAGCTAGGTAACCGGGAAAGGAGTGAGAAAAGTCAGGTAAGAACTTTATCTCTAAAAGACTCTTTAAGGTAAATGACCTACGGGTTGAGTATTTTACGAGTATATATATACAGTATGTATCATCGGGTGGATGAGGGACATCTATATGTATATATCACCCTATTTTTGGGTCTCGTGTCTGAAACATTAGTTATTCTTCATATAGCCTGCTTGTCACTAGTACTTCTATGGAGTACTGACCCCTCCGGGGGCCCTCACATTTTTCAGGTTGAGGCTAGAGTCCTACTACCTGCACCTTTGCCTAGGGTGATCATTCGAGGAGGAAGTGCTTCCATTCATATTTCAAATGTATAAACTGCTCATGGATTTTTGAACAATGTTTTCATTAAAACAGTTGGGGGCCTGCGTGCCCGTGTTTGCCACGTGTGGCTAAGTATCAAACATTTTATTATTTTCCGCATTTGTTTGATTATGATATTGATGTTGATTGTATGTGTTTACTAATCGGTTTGGCAATAGAATCAATCGGACGCCTTGTACAACTCAATGGGGATGAACTGTTGTTGTTCTTATCGGGTTGTACGGCGGTTGTCTACGTGGCTCGGACGCGGTCCGGGGCGTGACACCCACTCTTTGAGGCGAGTGGAGACGAGGTGAAAATGAGTAAAGTCATCTTTGTACCTACACATTTAACATACATATAAATTTTTTCCTTGGGATTTATTTTCCCGGTCAGGAGTTCATCACTTGAAACAAGTGGAGATGTGAATTGTTAATGTAATGATAAAATACTTAGTAGAATGGATGTGTGAGCCATTCGTAAGCAACGGCTGCCATTTGAGGAATGACTAAGACCGGTCTTCGTGCCCGACTTGGTCGAGGCTTTGTCTTTGTGCCCGACTTGGTCGGGGCTTTGTGCCTGATCGTGGTCAGGGCTTTAAATCCTAGTGATGGGTCTCAAGCCACACTCTACTAGGCATTTGATCATAAGTGCATGATAGTGTGATATTTAACCGACAAAAAAATGATTTAATTAAATATAAATAATATTAAAATTATAGTGTACTTATCTTTTTAAAGTGGGCTGAAATATTGGACTGTTTGGGCTGAAATATGTTGCTTAAATTGAGGCCCTTTGAACTATTTAGTTGGACCATATATGGTCTGGCGCACTGCTTCCCTCTTAGCCCAAAAAGTCAGCGGGACTTTTTTAATTGTTGACTGGAGTCAACTGAAGTGCTTGACCACTTTTGCAAATGATGTGTGCGGGCAGATCACATGTGGCCTGGCCCACTGCCTTACTTTTGGTGCGTCCCAATTGATATCAATCTTGGCATGCCTTTGATTACTATGGCCCATACTCAAATCATGCAGCGTGCGTTAGGTGTGGAGATAAGGGAGGCAGGTCATTGATAACAGAAAGGGATAGAACCGACAGGTCATCCCTGTCTTTGATGTCGCTGGAAAGGGATGGAACGCGACTCTTGGCCGCTCATTGCATACTGCCGCCACCAGCAAGGGCTCGAAACGAGGTCGTCGCTGCCAGACGGAGAAAGGAGGCCCAGGGAGGTCCTCGTCTCGCTGCAGCTTCGGAGGAATGAACGAAAGGAGAAGAGGCCACCTACGCCACCAGGACTTTCCGGTCTCCGCTCATGAACGCTGCTGCACCGGGCCGCTAGGCGCTTGAAAACATCATCTTTATTGGAAATGTTGCTGCTTTGTGCGACATTGGGCACTGGACTGTCCCCGGCGAGATCTGGAGCGGAAACCTTGCGAAGGGAGCTTGATGTGGCCATTCATGGCAGAAACTGTGGCGAGGTGAAGAAGTTTATGGCCACTTCCGTGTTAAGCTTACTGGTCTCGTGCACAGACGCCACTGGTAAAGGAGGCTGGATGCTTGAAAACATCGCCGGTAAGCGTCACTAATCGTCGCCGAAGAGTGGAAGAGATTCATTGGGACTGCTGCTGCTCCGTACGATTTTGCCCTGTCTCCGTCGAGATCTGGACTGAAAGCTTTGCACAGGGAAATTGTTATGGCCATTAATGGAGGGCTCACTAGACTGGTGTGGACCTGCGGCCAGCGGAACTGGTGGATGAGCAAACTTCAAGCGTCGATTGTCACTGTGGCGAAGGTGGAGAAACTGGACGCAGGATCGTTCATCTCTTCTAGGTGATCCCAGGCGGCCATTGATGACGGACCATCCTTGGAGAATCAGATCCGGAAGCAGTGACGTGTCCTGAAGCAGTGCACGTGACATCTTGACGGCGACCTCCCGCGTTTGTTCCCAGGCCAGGTGCGGCGGTAGGCGATGGCTTGGACGATGACCAATCTCCGGTCAGAGCTGGGACCTCTCCGATCTGAAGTGGCAGATTCATCACGTTGTTCTTTCTTTTTTCTTTTTTTTTTGCAATTTCCAGAACAGTTTATGGCTGGGTTTTTTTTGTGATTGGAATGATTTTTGGTTATTTGGGGAGGTTTTCTCACTTGATTGTGTTCAACCTCTCAACGAGAGCACCATTGTTGGATAATTGATACCCATATTGTATAAACAGGAGAGATTGAATAAGAATGGAGAAGAAATAATGAAAGTGTATAGAATGAATGAATATTTGTTATGGTTTACAAGCCGGGGAATAAGGAGTTTATATAGGGAAAATCCGGGTCTGGGCCTCTAATATGGGCCTGACAGACCCGGTTACATAAATGGATTGACGGTATAAAAAGCTAATCTAGAACATCTTAATAATAATAATAATGTACAATAATATGAATCCGCTAAACGTGTGTGGGCCACTGTCCAGGCCCAGTAGTCGGCATACCGGGGGGTCGGAGTCCATATACTCCATCAATGATATTTCGATAGTGTGCCCAAAGTTAAATAAATCTTGAGCAACAGGAGTAGTTCGGACATTAATTCAAATGATTTTCCATTATTAAACGAAGAATTGAATCGAATAATTGTTAAATATGAAATTAATTTGACTGACAATACACATGACCAACATGTTATTTTGAATCTTTAGAAGTTTATCCTGGATTGAGATTTTTTTGCTGATTTGTATCCTAATGTTCAAGACGAGGTGCGTCGTAGTAGGGACTATGAAACGTTGTGCTACTTTAATATTTGGATGATGTACATTAACTATGAAATGTTGTGCTTCTTTAATATCATACTTCCTTTTTTTTTAATTTTTATTGGTTAGTTACATTAAGGTAGAGACCCCGTGACTCTGATTTTCTGGGTTCGCCATTGTGTGTAATAATAAAAGAAAGTAATATTGAAATTACTTTTCTGGCTGTATCGAGTGAAGTTACTGTAGATGATTATGTTCACTATTTTTTCATATTTTTTTCTTTAATTTATTAAAAAAAATATTTTGAATATTTTTTTTCATAAATCAGCAGAATAATTCAATCTAACCACTTCAGCGAGAACTTAATAAATTTCAGAAGAAACAATCAATTCAACCGATTTGAGTCTTAGCGAAGAGACTCTAAATTGTACATCCAAAAATAATTAAGCAAAATGAAGTGCCTTCCTAAAGTGTTCCCAAAGGTGTATGAGAAGGCAGAACCCCAACATCCCATGTTACTACTATACCTTCGCAGGGACTTTCCACCCTCTCTTCCCCTGCCCACCTCCAACTTTTTAGATTTCAATTTTTTATAATGCCCAACTTATCTTCAATCCCCCATACATATTCATCTCAATAAATTGAGCCCTTACTTCATCAAATTTCCTCAATCCAAAAACATTCCACCATTAACTCTTCAGCTCCCCAAAGTCAAACCCATTACACATAAATATATCATTCGGTCAACACACACAAAATGTGTTCCTTCCAGACCAAACTGCAGGCTTCAAATGGTTCCCATATCAATGGCAGCGGCTGCGGCGGCGGCGGCCATTTTCTTCAGCCTAACCGAAACAGAGTCCCTCTGTTTGACTGCCGTAGCTCCCTGAAAACCCACTCTTCCTCCGCCGCCGCTGCCTCATTGATGCCCTTAAAGCCGCCGTCGGATAATAAAGAAGCATCGCCGGCGATCACTCCTCCGGTCACTCCGAAGATGAAGTCACCCAGGCAGCCCGCCGTGAAGAGATCTGGCAATGACCCCCATGGACTTAATTCTAGCGCGGAAAAGGTTCTGATCCCACGTGGATCATCCAAGGCTCAGGCGAGCTTGCTGGCGAAGAAGTCCAGGAGAGGCGTCGGTGGAGGGGCGTCGGTGGCGGAGCTGATTGTTGAGGATCCTGGGAGCATTGCGGCGGCGATGAGGGAGCAAGCCGCGATAATGCAGGAGCAGAGGAAAATGCGGATTGCTCATTATGGAAGAACTAAATCCGCCAAGTATGAACGGAAAGTGTCCACTGCCGGCGACTTCTCAGCCGCCGGAGCCCCTCGGGAGGACAAGAGGTGTAGCTTCATCACTCCGAATTCTGACCCGATTTATGTTGCTTACCATGATGAAGAATGGGGTGTTCCTGTCCATGATGACAAGTAAGTGGAAACTAATTCCCCCCACCAAATTACACAAAGTATTCAACAAAGTTTTTTACTTGATAAGAAAGCATAGAAATAAGAAAAATGGGGTTTCTAGACGTTTTTTGAACACGTCACTTTACATGTCGGTCAAATGGTTTTACACGCCATTTTACATGTCGGTCGAATTGTGGGAAAGAAATCATTTCGGCACTGACAATAAATTGTCTCTCTATGACAAACAAATAATATTTAAGTTTTGGTTCAAAATTTTAACGTGAGAAAAGGGTCAAATAAAATATTCTATTATTACGGAATCGTCACATAAGGTCATATACTCGATAAAGTGTCATATAAAAACATCCACTTATAAAAAGTAATCGGATGAGTCAAAACGACCCGTTGACAACCTCCTAATCCCGATTTTAGCTTAAGTATCGTTATTCTTCCTTGTATTATTTAAGCCAATTGTGACCAAATATTTCATGTCGGCCTTATAATCTATTTCAAAAAGATAGTTAGAGGTACGCTAAAATCGGAATTATGAGGTAGTCAATGGGTCGCTTTGACTCATCCGATTGCTTTTTATGAGTAGACGTATTTATATGATACTTTGTTGGATACATGTTAATGTCTTATTTGACATTTTTCCTTATAACTTTAATTGTTAGATGTGTAATATAACTTTAAATCCTAAGGACGAGTAACATCTCTACAATTAATTTTAATGTTAAGTTGGATATTTATTTCATTAATTAACAAATTAAGCAAATGGGTTCTAAATTAGAGATTGGATATTTATGTATACTCCGTACAATGCATAACAATTTGTTTTGGACCGCAGCATGCTGTTTGAACTATTGGTGTTAACGGGTGCACAAGTTGGGTCGGATTGGGCAGTCGTCTTGAAGAAAAGGAAAGATTTCAGGTATATTATGGGGCTTTTAATTATATTAATCGATATATTTAAGAGAGAATTCCCCAAATAGGAGTAAAACATAGGCAAAATGCAAAAATAGAAGTACCATGTTTTGAATAGGAGTAACTTTAGTGTTTGGACAAGTATACCCCTACCCAAGTCTAAGCCCCAACAACTTTTAATTAAATATTTAATTCATAATAAATTCGAAAAAAATCAAAAATTCGTAGAAAAATAATTAAAAATTTTATAAAATATTAATAAAATAAAAAATTAAAAAAAAAATAGTTTTTTTTTTAAATTAATAAAAAATAGTAAAACTCCATAAAAAAATTAAAAAAAATATGGATGTCTTTCACACCGCCTGTACTACCTTCCTGCACCACCACCTCCGGGTGGTGAAAAAAATTCCATTTTCCCTAAAAACTGCCATTTTTTTCTGAAAATGCCAAAAACATGGCATATTTCTCTTTGTGAATGCCAACATTTTCATTATTTTCTGCCATAAATATGGCATTCGTAATGAACTTGGCATTTTTTCCCCTGGTGACTGGAGGTGGTGGTGCAGAGGCGGCAGAGGCGGCGGTGAATTTTATTTTATTTTTTTGAGTTTTTTTTTTTAAATTTTTTTTTTTATTTTTTGAAAAATAAATAAATAAATAAATAAATAAATAAATTATTATTATCGAATAAGTCATAAATTAACTAGGTTATGATTAAATAAGTCCTATTTTAGAATTAACTAGGTTAGGGATATTAAGGGTACAAAATTAATGTTTACTCCTATTGAAGGAATTTTTAAGTTATACTCCTATTTATGCAATTATGTTTATGTTTACTCCTATATTGGGCAATTTCTATATATTTAATCCATGTAAAACTTTGGATTTGTTTATTGTGCATTATGTGAAATAGAAAAATAATGAATCATGCATTATTTTGGATAGTTCTTATTTCTCACAATTATTCCAATGTTGAATTCCTAACCTCAAGGGCCCCCACGTCTTGACTCGACAAGACTTTTAGGATTGTTCTCATTTCTCACAATGTTCGATGTATACATATTCATACACTCTTATAATATACTTTTTCCGTCTCATTTAAAGGTTCTCGTCCACTATTCTCCGATCAATGTGCATTGTTCTTAATTTTTTGCTTTATATATCCAACTTTTATCAGATTTAAATTTTCTTGATCAGACTTTGTAACGATTTTAATGTAGTTTCTGAATATGTAAATTTTATTTACTAAAAATAATTCTACTAATGACATGGATCAGTTAACTTTATGGTTAGTCAAACGTCGTAAACCGTGTGGGAACGTTTAAATGGGACGTAGGGAGTACATAATGTTTATAAATGTTTAATTTGTTGGCTTGTTACTTCGCAGGGAAGCTTTTTCTGGGTTTGATGCACAACTTGTTTCCAAATACACCGAGAAGAAGATTAACTCTATAAGCGTTGATTACGGCATAGATCTGAGCCAAGTCAGAGGAGCTGTTGACAATTCCATCAAAATTCTTGAGGTATCAACTATCAAATTAGTATATTGTGGCATAGATTAATAGTTAATTAATGATTATTATCATTATCATTAGTATCTAATACGCCACAAAAAATTATCGATGCTCCATAAACAACTATGCTCTATGAAAGTAATGCAAGTTTTTAACTTAGTCAAGTTGTTAAAGGTACGTTATATCATTAATAATTTGATCAAGCTACTAAAAACACGTTTGGTGAAATCCAAAATTGCTAAAAATGTTAAATTTGTTGAATTTGTTAAAATTTTGACATAATTGTTGATTTGGTTCCGTGCTTTGGAATTTTCAAATCTTTTTAGTCCTATATTGGGTAATATTCTCTTATTTTTATCTAACCTTTTCATTTTATGTATCACTTCACTTTTTATTTTTCTAGATTATATTTCTTGGCTTAAAATTATTAGGAGTACAATTTTGTAAAAGAACATCGCATTTAATTAGTTTTTAAAAACCCTGCAAAATAATACCGCACAGCTAAAATCGTTGACTAGTCATTTCCACCCATTTCAACAAAAAACATGTTCTTTCTCATGATCAACCACTTCCTCAAAAAAGGTGATTTTTTTTAGAGTTTGTTGAAAAAATTAACTAATTAACCGAAAAAGAGTCTACCAAACGTACCCTCATTATACTACCTCCGTTCCTTAAAACTTTGACAAAGTTAATCGGTACGGAGAATAATAAAGTAAAAACTGTGTGGTTGAGGTTTGTGCAGAGAAGAGAGAAATAACAGGAACCACAAAATAATTGATTAAAAAGAAAAGTGACAAAGTTTTTTGGGACATCCCAAAAAGGAAAGTGACAAAGTTTTAAGAGACGGAGAGAGTAAAATACTTTATCTCATAATTAGGCTGCTGATAACGAGAATAACTTTGATTGAGGTACAAAAGTGTTCTCATAACCCTTCCCCATTGTTGTTCCAAAACGTGGAATCTCCCACATCCCGACCCGACAAGATTTTTAGGAGGATGTAAGTCACGGTGACTCAGTCGGCTCAATAATGGTAGACCTTATACCCGTGCGCACCAGAGGTCTAACCCAACACGCATAAGTTGTAACCTCCACACAGCCGATGTGAATTTTGAACTTTGTTCATTGTCCCAAATTTCACATCATTGAATCAACTGAGTTACCCATGCGGGTAAACCGTTCCCGACATGCATGTGTGTAGTGCCTTTATTAGTGGATAAGCTATTCGTTAGGTAGAAGTCTCGAATACAAGCCACATGGCTAAAAAAATTCTTTTGGTATCAATACACATCGTACTTTACTTCTTTATGCCTTTCCGAACGTAGGTACATTTTTTTTTTAATTTTTGTCTTTGTATTTTTTTTAAGTTGGCACTTTTGTCCATTTTGTACGTCATTTTGAGATGTGAACCCTAAATTCATATGGAAACAAATTAAATGTAACGTATTTCATGATAGTACATATAGCTCGTTTAATACTGAAATTTGTTTATAGAATCAGTGTTAATTGCTTAAATCATGATTGAAACGACAAAATCGGTTTAATGTAACATAAGTATATGTACATATATGCTGCAGATTAAGAAGCAATTCGGGACATTTAGTAAGTACCTATGGGGATTTGTAAACCACAAACAAATAGCCACACAGTACAAGTGGAGCAACAAGATCCCCGTGAAGACCTCCAAATCAGAAACCATAAGCAAAGACATGGTGAGGAGAGGTTTCCGGTATGTCGGCTCCACCGTGATGCACTCTTTCATGCAGGCTGTCGGGCTCACCAACGACCACCTCACCACCTGCCCACGACACCTCCGATGTGCCGAGTTGGCGGCCGCCTCCCTCCCGAGGTCTCGTCCAACTGCCCATGTAGTAGTGCCCCTACAATAGAGTGATAATGAAACTTATGATGATGATGATTATCTAACAATAGGAATATAAGCTCTCTTTTTGTTTTTTTCTAGGTTGGGTTGTGATTGATCATTTAGGAATGAGTTTGAGAGTAGTAGCAATATGGTTGATTTGTGAGGTGTGACATGCATGCATATTACTAATTAGATGTGATTAATTATGAGTCTGTAATTGATAGGTGTGAGCATATCAAATGGATTTTTTAGGTTTTCTGTTTGATTAAGTTCGAGTGAGAATGATTACTAAATTAAAAGCATCCAATGTTTTGATTTGATTTGCATTAGTTCAGTTTGGATTTGTTTAACTATTGAAAGCGTTTACGATTTTGAATTTTTTGCTTCGCACTATTTCTATTTAGATATGATTTGGTTCAATTTAAATTAGTTCAAAACAATATTAATAATGGGGATTATATTTGACTTTGCACTCTATTTTTAAATTCATTTACTAGAGAATTATTTGACTTTGCACATCATTCTTTCACAATTTCTAGTTGATAGGGGTGCAAATAGTAATTTTAATTTGAAAATGGAGCACAAAGTCTAATATCAATCAAAACGTGAAGTGTAAAGTCAGATTTTCCTATTAATAAATTAAAAGCTCATTGGATATGAAGCCAAATTGAATCAAACCGAGATGCCAAACTAGTGAATGGGATGGAAATGGGGTGTGTGGTGGAATGTGGGGGACAATTGGCATGTGCAAGTAAGGGCCAAAGGAAAGAGCTAATAACTAGGGATGATGGTTAAAGACTTGGTGCCTACACATATTGTTATATGCCTTTCATTATTCCCTTGAGTGACCCCTCCAACCCAAGACTTTTGAGGCACTTTTGGGGCCAGTATATATACCACCCATGCACTATTTACTTCAATAATTCTTTGTATGGATAAATTTGAGGAAAGTACGCAATAAAAAGGTATATAGAGAGGGACATGGCTGTCATGTTTGTGGTCATGCGGTGTTACTTTTTCATCCATCAATTCAGATTTGGATGGCAGAAACAAAAGAAAAGGATAAAGGTCAAATTGGACACCGTGATTATATGAGAATCTCATAATGGACATTATGGTTTCAAATGGATCAAATTGGACACTATGGCTACTTGTTTATCTCATATTGGACACTAAGATTTCAAGTGTATAAAAAAATTTAACGTTTTTTCTATCATTTTCAAACACCCACCAAAGATTTTCACCTTTGAAAGCTATAAGTATCCTTTTGCTTTTTGTTTTGGGTACCTAAAAAATAAAAAATATTTTAATTCGTGAATTTGGATTTAGAGAATTTCATTAGATGATCCAATTAAGAAAATCTATTATAATGTATTATAATTATTTAATATTGTTAAATTAATTTAAAAAATCAATATTTTTTTAAAGTTTCATATAATCACATGAATGAAAAGTCATAAATATATTTCTAAATGGTTAAATATAAGAAGTTATTAATTAAAATCAAATAATATAGAGTATTATGAAACCTCAAATTAAATATTCCAAAATTATATACGTAATTAAATTAGTTTATTTTCACTAAAAGGAAGGGAAATACAAGACTAACGATTTTTATTAAAAGAAGAAGAGAATCATAAGTGAGTGTCCAAAAACTATGCATTATGAAACTTAGTGTCGGATTTGATATACATATGTAACCATAGTGTCAATTTGGTCCATTTGAATCCTTAGTGTCAAATATGAGATTCTCATATAACTGTAGTGTCCAATTTGAACCTTATCCCCAAAAGAAACAAAAGTTTGGACAATTGGGGTGTCAATTATTGAGATTTGTTATGGAATTTGTCACAGAATTATCCGTGACAAATAAAAACAAAAATTAATGGTGTTGTCACGGATTTGGTCCGTGACAAAGCGCCGGATCCAAAAAAAGTACGCTGGCGTACGTTTCCGGTCACCGGAGCTCTTATGTCACGTACGTTGTTACGGACCATATCCGTGACAAAAATTCGTGACAAAGACGTTGTTTTTTGTAGTGGCTAACCGTTCGAGTAATAATGCAGTACGTATATGGTGCATTCGGGTGTATGTACACCCGGCCCAAATAAGAAAGACAGTCCAACAATCAATACAAGCCAAAAAAAATTGATGGCATTGCATTTTTATAATATAAGTGAAAAAATACGATTTCCGCTAAATGAGCAATAGTGTACATTTAGTGAGCATCTGACATATTTTATTGAGTATTTAGAGGCTAACAATGAGTATCATGATTTATGCTTCATATCTTCTAATTCATTTTTTTCCTTATTTTTTCTTTTATAAAAACTAATTGAATTATATCTATAATACACTTCTATAAATTTCCATATGCGAATCTAATGCAATATGATACTTTTAAAATATGCATTAATATAACATTTTAAAATGAGCATAACATCAGTATCAAATGAGTATACATAACTTATAAAATGTTTATTGATATGAAAATCGTAAGATTTGTTAGTTTAACATAATGATATGTTCATTGAGCACCAAACCTCATTTATTGAAATTAAAATCAAGCTTTCTGTTAAATGAGCATACCATTACCACCAAATGAGCATACATAACTTACGAAATGGGTATAAAAAATTTTAAAAACGCATTTTTGTGTGCTCATTCATTTTGGACGCTATACTCATTTTAATTTAACATAAAACTCATTTTAGCATCAGGCGTGGTCTACAGTGGCGGACGAACTTCATCCGACGGCGCACCAGACACTAAAGCTCGAATCCGCCGCCTTAGGTTCAGAATCAACAGCCTCCATCCGAAGGCTGTGCAGCGGCGATTGCAGACAGATTGCGAACTTCATCCGACGGCGCACCAGACACTGAAGCTCGAATCCGCCGCCTTAGGTTCGGAATCAACAACCTCCATCCGAAGGCTGTGCAGCGGCGATTGCAGACAGATGACGATGGTGTTGTTGCTTCGTGCGTGGAAGGCCATGGTAGGCGAAGAAGAGAGATGTGCGCAGATCCTCATCCATCGATTCCCAAGACATCAATGAGGGCCGAGTAGCCTTCTCCATCCCTAATCTTTATCACCAGATTAGTAATTAATTGCAAAAATACCCGGATGTACGGTGAGGACCGTACATCCGGGTGTACGATATAATTTGTGGTAATAATGTGTCCATCACTTATTTTGTTGTTATTACTGTCTTTTTTGTTATGTGTTTTTTGGAGTTTTTTATTAATCATATTTTACATGGGACAAAAGTTGGATATAAATTACAATGAAAAATTGGACTAATCAAATCAAAACAAAAGGTCAGTTATATTTTTGGAAAAAAGAGAACGTACTACCCACTCTTTAGTGTTTCATAAAGCTATAAAAATATTTGTGTCTTTTTTCCATGTCATACTCCGTTAAAATTATTTATTCCGGCCTATTTATGAACTTTGTCCATTATTACTCATATTCTGAACTAATTAATAATTTTATACGAGTATATTACTCCGTAAACAGTTCAAAACTTCATTTTTGATCTAATACTTTTCACTGCATGTCTGCATATGATAGTATAAGATAACTAAAAGATTATTTCTATTTATGAACTTTGTCCATATATTACTCACATAGACTCTATGATGTACTCTACATAAATTAAAACTCGATTAAACACACAGTTTTTATTTTGTTATTTTACATATGAACCAAAGATGACAAACTTTTAGGAGATTTAGAGTATATCTATATTCCATCGCAAGAAAAAAGAGTATATCTATATTTAAGCTAGTAACATTACACTTAAGTTTAATTTCCTCACCTAAACGAACTCAGATCAATGCTTATTGCTCAACATTTATAACATATTGTTGGTAATATTATTGTTGTTGTTATTCCTGTTTTTACATTGTTATTTGTTGGTTTTATTATGAGGTTCACTACAAAAAAACACGGGATTGATTTTGGCAGTGATTCCTCAAAATTGGCAGAAATTTTGACAATGATTCCTCAAAAATTGGCAGAGATTTTGACAGAGATACGCCAAATTTGTGTCAAAAACATTTCGGAACAAACTATTTTGCACGAAATCATCGTTCAATTCGTCCCAAATACGTGTCAATCCCGTAATTTTTTTGTAGTGGTTATTCTGAAAATATTATTGAAATAAAATGTATTTATAAAAAATGACTAAATAGTTATTATGAATATAATATCACAATCACTTAAGCATAAAAAGTTAGCATAAGTTACTATAACTAAAGTTACTATTATACTCATCACAATTAAGAGATCACGTTCTTGTAATAAACTTAGTCATAAATCTACAATTATTTCTTTTACTATCGTTGTGATCATCATCATCATCATCATCATCATCATCATCATAATGACTACATAGCTAGAACTAAATCGAAATAAATTATATTGGGATGTACTCCATCCGTATCACAATAAGTCTCATTTTCCTTTTAGAAATAATTTTTCCCCAAACGTAACTAGTAGCTACAATACACTGTAGTAAAGTAAATAATACTACTAGCGTACTGCTACAGTACAAAAAGTGTCCCGATTTTGCAAAAAGTGTACAGTAAACTATCTTCAAATACATGAAAAACTTACTGGGACTCTTATTGTGGTGCAGATGAAGTAAGATCATAATAGATTTAATAAACTCGTTAAAAATTGCCCACTTAATTATTTCGTCATGAATGACTGATGAACAACATGCATATAACTTAGAGGAAAGTGAAGAGAATCGAGTCGCCCCTATGTTAGAGAAATTGCACACATGTTGGCATGTGCAAAGATCTTTATTGTCATCTTTTTCTTTACTCCTTTTTTAAGCTTTTTCAACCGATAGCATGCATCTCGCTATCATACTTCAAATGCATAGTTGGGGTTTGGAATCCATATCAATTGATGTTGTTGTGGTTAGAGGAGCACCTAAAGCGATCAATCTTTTTTTTTGTCGATGACAATTTTATGTTATTTGAATCTGCAATCATGTTAATTGTGGGTAAACGAAAGAGGAGCGTTGATTCTTATCTATCAAATAAAGTTTATTTTAAAATAGCCTTTGATGGTTTGATATAAATTACTATATGTTACACGACGAAATTTTTAATAGAAAAGTTGTTATGTACTTCACCCGTCTCACTTAAAGTTACTATTGAAAACAAGCTAAGGGTGGCCACGGGGCAACAAGGACGAGGGACATAGGCCTAGAAAAACCCCGAAAAAAGGTTAGGTACAATATTAGGCCTTATCATAGACATAAGTAGGACGAATACTTCTATTCATAGCCCCGAAAATATGCTCTTCATAACCCCCAAAAGTGATTACGATTAGTTGTTCGGGGATGTGAATAGAATTACCCTTTCAATAGTGCTCCGGCCCAACCCCTAACGGCCCATGAATAGGAAAAGGCTGAGACATAGACTTTGGGCGTTTAGCTGAACAAAGGACTGAAAGAAGCTGCCGGTGGAAGAACGCCAACTCCCGTCTCCAAGTCCTATCTGCTAAATCGCCACTCGCCGACCCCCCGACCGCCGACGCTTGGACGACTACCGGTTTCCGCCCAGCCCCTTATCTGCTTCTCAATCCAGCAGTCGTCGCTCCTCTGCCTTCTGGAGTTCTACTGCTGCGGTGCCACCGTGTCAGTGGTGTGCTTCCGCCTTCTGGCCTACTGCCTGCTGCGCTTCATCCATTCAGCAATTCGGCCCTTTCCCTTTTCACCTTCAGGCTCCAGATATTCTCGGTCTCCTCCGATCTCCTTAACTCTTGTATTCTTTTATTGATTAGTTCATTATTCGCGAACCCATAGTTGCTTAATGTTTATAAATGAATTGCTGATAAATAATTGGTTGGTTTTTTTGGCTGTTGAGTGTTGATAAATGATTACTTCATACTCACAATTGTTGTTTTTATGTGTTGATTTGTTCTGCCATTGTTGATGTTGCCGTTAGTTGATTAGTTCATAGTTTTTTTGAAGCTATCAGTTCATAATTGTTGAGTTGTTGAATTTGAAGTGATTAGTAATTTTACCATTATGTAATCAAATTCGGATTTTGCTTTGGTATTATAACTTGTCCTGTAAAATTTTCAATTATAATTAAGTTTTTAAATTTATTAATTCCAAGGTGTAATAAAATGGTTGAATCCTGATGGAAGAAAGAGAAAAATAGGAGAAGATCAGAGAAAGAAGCTCTAATTAAAAGGTTCGATGGAAGAGATTGTTTGTGTGAAAAAGTCAAATTCCAAATGTCCTGAATGATCATTTTAGGAGGAAAATATTTTTACAATTTTTTTAAGATTATGCGCATTATAAATTATTCTCTTCTAGGCCTTGAAGGAGTTGAAGCAGACATGACAGACCTTGATTGGAAAATGACATGTTTTTAGGTAATAATCAGGTTGATTTGAGTATAGTTCGAGTCTTTGAGAGATAGGTTGGGCGAGTGTATAATAGAATGGAGTAATTAATGATAATTGTAATGTTATGGCTGTATTAACTTTAATATATGATGATTAAGTTGTATTTATGAGAGTTAATTGTTTTCTAAAATAGAAGTGAGAACCTCTAAATGAGACCTCCCAAATAGGCAACCGAGAACGTTTGTCTCTTAAACGTTCGTAAGAGGCAAGTAAGAAACTTTACTTAGGATGGGTGGAGTCCGTGGCAGATTTGGCCGGGGTCCAGGGAGGGCCCAGGCCCATACTCAATTTTTTTGACTAGAATATAGGTATAAATTTAGGCCCAATCTGAAAATTTTTGAAAATCTTAATATTCTATCCGAGGTTTTGCCACTTTTAGTCCTCCGACTATTATGTCTTTGACACTTTTGGTACTCAACTTTTATTTTTTCCACTTTTAGTCCTTGATAGTTGTGCTAGAGACACTTTTGGTACCCATCTTTGAAAATTTCCATAGCTAGTTCTCCGACTTCCATAAAAGTGACAGTTTTGGTCCTTTAACTATTATGATAATGACATTTTTAGTCCTTAATTTTTTGTGTCAAAATCCAAGTGGAAGGACTAAAAGTGTCAATTTGATAATACTCTGGGGACTAAATGTGGAAAACTTTGAAGTCGAGGACTGAAAGTGTATCTAGCACAATAGTCAAGGACTAAAATTAGAAAAATTAAAAGTCGAGTACCAAAAGTCTCAATGACACAATAGTCGGGGACCGAAAATGGCAAAAACTCTATTATGTCCGTTCAGAAATCCATATCCCAAGCACCGAAGCCCAAAATTTAAGTTGGCCCAAATTTCCAAATCCGCAGGAAGCAGGGCGCAATGCCGCAATCGGCAATCTAAGTTGGGAAGGCATCGACACATCACATCACATATTCAGTAATCTAACTCACGCACAGACGCACTCCCCTGTGAATAGCGCTAATCGGCAAAAAAAACAAACAAACGATGAAACAGCCAAACCCCGAATCTTTCTGACTTCGTCAATCGCTGGTCCGTTCGTTGGCTTGCTCTTCGCCGACTTCGTCAAATCAGCAGGTCGCACACTCGCACTGTCGCAACGCTCCAATTTTGCTCTTCGCTTGGCCGCCTTGCCGCCGTCGCCGGTAAGTTTGTTTTTTGTTCTTTTAAGTTTGCTAATTGCTACTCTGCGTTTGTTTAGCCAATTACCCGATGTTCTGCCTATTTGTGTGCATTAAGGTATTGAATTTGAGGCTTTTGAGTATTTCATTATTTCAGTGAGCCTCTTACTGGTTAAAATATTTAGTCTACAAGCTTTTGACTTTGAAGTTGATTCTTCCTGTCGCAACCGCTAGCGTTGAAAGAGTATTTTCAGCAATGAATATCGGGAAGGATAGGTTGAGCAACCAAATGAGTGATGACCGGCTCAACGATAGACTTATTGTTTATGTAGAAAATTGACAATGGTGTCATTATCGAGCGATATCAATCGATGAAAACTCGTAGAGAAGAGTTGTAAAATTGTGCCTTTTGGTTTTGTATTTGACTCACTCTGAAAACTCTTTTTCCTATAATATATATTTTCATCTTTGATTTTTTGTTGCAATAGATGTTATTTTATACTTGAATATAATTTTTGTTAAGTACACATTATTATATTAAATGTTGATTTCTTTTTTTGCAATGTAAGTTATTTAACTAAATTTAGGCCCTACCTGAATAGGAAAGCTAGATCTGCTCCTGAGTGGAGTATCATTGTTATATCTTCGAATTTCCAAGAGTTAAAATATATAGAATCTTTCCCTTATATAAGCACCATCTGCCGTTAGCATAGTCCTTTTTCCTTTAACTTATTCACGTTTCTAACGCCAAATTCAACTTTCTCTCTTCCGCATCCATTCCCTCAACCTTTCACAGAATCGGCAGTTACTTCACTTACGCTCGCTAAAACACGGTTTCTAAGCCTTGATCGTATAACTTCAACCAATTCATTCTCATATTGCTGCACATCCGCTCCAGTCATATTCTTTGGCCTTCTGGTCCTCTACAAACAAGGTACATCCTTACATACTAATTACTTTTGTCATTATGCTTAGATTGCTTACTATGGGTTGCAATTGTTTGTTCTGGTTACTACGGAATGCACTTGTTCATAACTTTCTTGGTCATCTAATTCAATTTCCCCTCACACACTTCATTCAAATTTCCAGCACACTATATGTATTCTATGCCTGCAAAGTGTTTGTCAAAAAGCCACATTCAATACAAACACGTAACAGTTATGGCCTTGCATTGTTACAATTCTTAACTTAAGTGAAGTAGAGATTGTTTTCACAGTATCAAAACTGCAGGCAAACAATAAGGCAGGAAGATATGCAATTGGTTTAATTTCAATGAAAATACTGCTTTGAATCTTAAAATCAAAACTACTTTAATAGGAAAGGATTTTTCAAAAGTACATGCCATTAGTATTATTCAAACTGCAATCAAATAGAAAAAGGTGACTGTAAATGTCCCAAAGTATTCTATGCACATGGTTCAACCATAGATACTTCAAAGTCTATGGTAAACAACTAATCAAAGTATCTGCACAATGTTAGAAGTTATAAGACTGTCCGAGAAACTTTTTGATATGATCTTTATTTTGTTCTGTTTACCTGAAATAGTTTTTTATTCCACTTCTCGGGGTAACGCTTTTTGATATGATATTTATGTGTTCCAATTACTTTTACTACTCTAAAAAGTTTATCAATTTTTATAAATACTTAAAAATACAAAAAGTTGAGTTATTCCTAAGCGGGCATGCTCGTTTAGGCAACAATGAAGTTTTCACAAGCCTGCAGTTTGTTTAGATCATTCCCTAAACGATACCAGGAAGAATGCTTCCAGGTTTAAACTATACTTGACACGTAGCCCTTGGTTTCAGGGAGAATTCAATAAAAAAACTGCTTTCAGGTCCACTTTATAAATACCATAGGTAGAAAAATGTGTGTGTTTCTTCACTTTATTTTCCCACTTTAATCAAATATACTTAAGTAGAAAAACTTTATGAATACCTTAAAGTAGAATAAGATTTTTAAATACTTCTTGACTGAGGTACATTTGTATGCTTCGCTCTATTTTCTCAATTTATTCAAAAATACTTTTATGTTTCTAAACCTTAAACCTGGAAGAAGTTGGTTACTGTGAACTCTGAATTCAAACATTTTCATCACTGTGTGTTAAGTGATCAAAATGTAATCATAATTATGATAATAAAATTCAAAAGACTATTATTTCTCTACTAAATGTAATGACTACTATGTTAAAAGTAAAGCAACCATAGGTATTGGTGAAAGTGGTTTTACAGATCTAAGAATTGTAGTTAATAGCGTCTAAATTTTTTAAACCCTTAATAACAAGGGCTTAAGAGATAATATATTTTAACTATTAAATTATCCTACTGTGTGTAATGTTTTTAAATTGTTTCACACACTTAATATTGCCCGTCACTTCCTAAGGCTGGATCTTTTTAAAAATTTGTGATGTTTTAGAGAATATCTGCAATGATGAAAGAGGTTGGTTGCTTTACAATATGTAATTCCAAATATAGTGACTGAATGTGTATTTTGAAATTTAGACAGTGCTAATGTGTGATGGTAGTGGGTTTATGCTTTTTTCCAATGATTAGTTAAGTTAGTGATAATAACTATTAGTTTATATACACACTACAATTGTCTACTTCAATGAGGAATTGATGAATGTCCTTTGAATTTCGAGTTTTAGAGTCGACGATGGTCATCAAGTTTCGAGTTTAAGAAATGAAAAGGCTTGGGTTTCTTTATTAATAATTAAATTACTCTCTAACACTCTAAATTAGTTTCTAAACTTCTACTTTCTAAATCTTACTTTTAACACTCCCGCCTGGACGATTTGTCCGCGCCTGGATGGCGCCAGAGGCACCTGGTCTTCCACAGGCAAGGTCATCTCTCTTGTCGACCCTTATTCATCGCCAAGATGCCTAGATGGCGATTAGGCGATGTTGTAACACCCTTTGTGTGGGCTCACGAACCCAAAAAGGATACTCATGAAGTATTAACTATATTGCAGACCTGCAGTCTTATATCCCGATTCAGTTCGATCAGCAGGACCAATCCTTTATACTTTTGTAAAGGGTATCGAACAAAAGAAAGTATTTGCATACCCTTTATATTTGTGGATGACTGCATGAGTCCTTACTTCTATCTATTTTCACTAATTCTTTAAACAACATTGCACCTTATTCTTCCACTACGTGAAGTATGACTTAAGGGATTCTAGCTTTCTTTTGGAATCAGCTTCAACACCTTTAGTTGGTGTAATTCTGCACAATTTGTGATCCTGCAGCAGACCCCCCTATAAAATAATAGATTTTCAGAAGCTCGGTGATTCAAAATTTCTCATTCGAACTGTCTAGCAAGAGTTAACATAGGAATTTTTCACTTATGTTAATCAATACGAACTATTTTTATAATCACGGACAAAACCGTTACAATTTAGTTAGATAGAGCAAATCCAGTTTGGATTTTTTTGTTAATCAAAGCACAAAGGAAATTATAGTCGTAAGATCTTAATATACCCACTAGACAATTAGTTCTTCAATAGTACAACCAAGTTTAATCACTGGCAGATTGTTATTTGCACTTTTAAATTTGAGTCACTCTAAACATTGCTATTTTTAAACACCAAAAATTCTTTAGCAAGTCAACATTACACATGAGAGAACGAAACATCAACATATTCTTCCACTACGTGATGTATGACATAAGGCATTCTAGCTATCTTTTGGAATCAGCTTCAACACCTTTAGTTTTTGTAATCCAAACCTTTACTTTTAGGAGATGGTTTGTACTTAAATTGTAGTTTGAAATAAAATATAGCTCGTTTGAAACTTGTAAACCTGCTCTGGTGCTCTTTCAAATTAGAGAGAATATGTGTTGTACTAAGTTTGTCGTTTAAAACTTAAGTTTACTGAAATTGTTCTGCAGTCCATGGGGATGATAATATCAAATGTCATGGGAACCTCAAATTTCAACTTTGGGGAATTAAATTCTGCATTCAGAATTGAGAAAGGCTGAATGTAAACCTTTGTTGGTTTTGTATTCTTTACTTTTTCACTTGGATGGCTGCAGCAAATGTGTATACGTTTATATAAGTTTGTTCTGATTAACGGTAAGTGTTTGAAGTAATCCTCTCTTCATCAAAACCGTATGCATCAATAAAGAGGAGAGATGTGCAATTGGTTTCAATGAGAAACTGGTTAAGCCTCAATAAATTCATTACTACTTTAATAAGAATAAGATTTAGCAGGTTACAATTTCAGGTGATCTTAATTGTTTGAAGTTCTTTTAAAGCTCTTCCACCACTACTTTTAAGTTGTATTCATTGCTAAAGTTGACAATACATTTGGTTTAGGGTATTTAATACTGCCTCCGTCCCGATGGACTTTGCCAAATGCAAAGTAGGTGATAAATAAGAAAGTAAAAATTGTGTGGTTGAAATTTGTGCAGAGGAAAGAGAAATGTGTAGAATCACAAATTAATTGCTTTAATTGGAAAGTGTCAAAGTTTTTTGGGACAACAAAAAAGGGAAAGTTGGCAAAGTCCAATGGGACGGAAGGAGTACTACGGAGTAATAAATAACAAAGGCTTACCTTGATAGCCTTGATCGTAAGATTGTTTCAAATTATCATATTAATAGATATCTTTTCAAAAGATGAGTGTGGCAGAGATGCGTATGTTGTGTTGGATGTGTGGACATACCAGAAAAGACCGTTTGAGGAATGAGATAATCAGACAAAAGGTGGAAGTAACACCTATAGAATATAGCACCTATAGAAGATAAGATGCATGAGTCTCGTTTGCGGTGGTTTATGCATGTGCGTAGAAGACCGAGTGATGCACCTGTTAGACGACTTGAGGGGCGGAGAGAAGAGGCAGAGAAGAGAGGGAGGGGAAGACCCAAACATACTTGGATTAGAGGAATCAGAACTGATATGCGTCTTTCTTGGGTTGGATGATAGTAGGGCTTTGGAGAGAGCAAAGTGGAGGGCGCACATCCGTGTGGACGATTGATGTCTTTTCTACATTTCCTCTCTTTTTTCTTTTATCGTTTATCTTCTTTATCTTTCTATATTCTTATGTTATTTTTATATTCTAGATTTTTTATGCTCTTTTTTTAACTTTTATCTTTCGTATATTCTTGTGTTATTGTTATCTTATATTTATTTATCTTTATTTATTCATTTTCTTATTTTTTTTCTTCCCTTTCTTGTTCGTCTTCTTTGTTTGACATCGATATCATTGATCGATTCATGTTAGCCGACCCAAAATTCTTTTGGGATTAATGCTTGGATGTTGTTGTAGATACCTTATCAATAATTCATTTCTTCCTAATCAATGTAGGTTTCCATCAATGTAATGTATAAGACAACAAGAACAATATGGTCTTGGGTTTAGCTTCTAACATATGGGGTGTTTGGAACTGATTCTGCTTTTGATTCTTTTTTAATACAGAAGCAGGATCAGAATCAAGAAGCTGGTCTCCCCCAACTTCTAAAAAAATTGCTTCTAGTAGTAAATTAGAGCACCAGAAGTACTTATGCACTTTCATCCAAACACTTCAACTTCTGCTTCTGCTCCCTGAAGGAGCAGAAGCAGTTTTAAGAATCAGATCCAAACACCCACATATTGGGTTTAGCTTATAAGACGATAAGAACGATAAGGTCTTAAGTTTTTCAAAAGTAATTTGACTAATGTGTCCTAAAACTATTCAACCAACATATAAAACAAATACTCCCTCCGTCCCACAATGAACTTCACAGTTTGACCTACACACATATTAAGGAAATAAACTTATCATGGGGTAAATTTTACTGTTTTGACACTGTTTCGACACTTTTTAGCACTGTTATGCACTGTTTTGATGTAGATTAACTTGTCATTTAAGGAAATGAGAACTTGTTTCTCGGACATCCAAAAAAGGAAAGTGGGAAGTTCATTGTGGAACGGAGGGAGTATATAGTTTGAATGACAAGAAACAACTAATGTTAATTTCTATTTTAATATTAATGCTTTATGACTCGATGCTTTGTGTACCTTAAAGAAGGAAATTTTGCATCAGTTCTATATTCATAAAAGTTACTCCGTATTATAAAGTCAACTTTAAACTGTTGTTATATGCAAGGCTGATCCTGATACACCAAACTGTAATTTTTTTAATATCAAATTTAGAGAATCGCTTAAATTTTTTTCTTTCATAATTAAAACTATTAATTGATTTTTGCTTTTGTGGAGCAAATGAACTACTCATCATGCCTTGTTTGTAAGTATACAATGTTTTAAAGTACATAATTAGATGTTTGATTATATTTACATTTAATACATATCTAAAAATGCACACACAACATTTAATGTTCAATTTTAATTTTTATAACTACTCTAATATTCTCATAAAAGTGAGAGTTCTATTAACCTTCGTACATGGTAATTCATCATAATCATTTACTCAAATTATTTAACTATAACTACCTAATCTAGAATGGTATATTACTACTACATTTACTCAAATCATTTACTACTACATAAAAGTGAGAGTTCTATTAGTGCGTACGTTGCTAGTTAGTGATATACAAGTGGTATTTGGTAATTCGGGATTCCGCTGTAGAGTTTGTAGCGAGCGTGGGCCACGTGGCTAAACTAGGGATGGATTCGGGCCGGGTCGGGTCCGGGTCGGGTCCGGGCCGGGCCTAGGCCCGGTTGGGCCGCCGATTCAAGAAAAGTGGGCCCGGGACCGGCCCGAGGGTTGGACGGGTCCGGTTCGGGCCGGGCCACCCGCCCGGGTCACGGGTCGGGTCCGGTTCGGGCCGGGCCGGTTAATTTTTTTTTATAATTTATATTTTATAGTTTATAGTTTTATACGAGTATTAAAAACAAACTTCAATTGCATTTATTTGAAATGAAATAGGAACTACATTTGAAAATTAAAACAAACTTTAAGAGATAAACATTTTGAAAATTGTAATCAATCGGAACTTCCTGCACCTCCCGATCCTTTGGCTTTTTTCACATGACTTCATATGCTTGATTGCCATCCCGAATCCGCCTGAAGCCCCCATGATACATTTTTTTTCGCACCATTTGCAAATTACGTACCACATCCTGGTCTTCGAGTCCTTCTGCTTATCAAAATTATACTGTATAATGGCATCTTGATTTTCCATCTTAACTTCTTGGAGAAGAGAATTAGAGAGTAGATATATAATATATTGGAGAATAAGAGAATTAGAGAGTAGAGAGTTAAGAATAGGATTTAGGAAGAATTGGAGAAGAGATATGAAAAAATGTTTAAGATTAGGAATATTTATAGGTTTTTTTACCCCCCACCTCCCCCTACCAGCCAACCCCCCCGGACCCCCCCTTTACCCCACCCAATGGCTATATAGCCGTTTGGGTTGTCCCCAGCCCCACCCCCAACGGATAGTAGCCCAACCAACCAATTTTTTTTTGTTTTTTTAAAAGAGGCCCGGGCTCGAGTCGGCCGGGCCGGGTCACAATAATCCTGAACCAAGCCCGCCCCGTCCCTTCCCATCGGTTCGGGTCCATACCCGGTCCCGGACCGCCCGACCGGGCCGGTCCCGGACCGCCCGACCGGGCCGGTCCCGGACCGCCCAACCGGGCCGGTCCCGGGCCCGCACAGTGCCGGGCCGGGCCACGGGCCGGGTGGCCCGAACCGAATCCATCCCTAGGCTAAACCTTGGCGGGGCAGCTGCTCTACTCTTGAAGCATAACTAGATACTCACCCGCGCGATGCGCGAATGAAATTTCACCAAAGTGTGATTAAGAAGTGTATTATAAAAACTCATGATAAATTGAACACAGACTAAATAAAGTGGTACTTAAGATAATAAACGTTTGTAGTTAACGAGAAATTCTAACATCACCAACGAAGTGTTAATGTAATTTATTTTGGCACAGTCAAATATAAATATTAAAAGAGAGATAACATTTGAAACTATGAAGTGGGGAGTAAAATAATAAGTGTTCATAGTGAAACTATAAATTCTGAAACTTCTTTGTAAATTCTGATTGATAAGCCTGATAAGGCAAAAAAACAGAGTCACAAACAGATATTGAGTAAGGGTCCATAAAATTTTAATTTGATACTTTACTATTTTTTACCCTTAGTTAATAGAGCGATTGCTTGCCTTTATTTTTGAATTATCTCTTTTTACAATTATACATATTTTACTGATTGGAAATAATCATATTCAAATCAATTCAGCCATTTGGATTAACTCTTTCCACCAATTAAATCAAATACAACATATTTAGCTTTAGCAAAAGGAGTATTACAATTAAAAAAATTACCTATAACACTTTATGTTATTGATCAGCCAATTTAAAATTTGGAACCTCTTATTTTGATTTTTTCTATTTATAACAAAATCGAATTATCAATTCATTAAAAACATATGGAGTAACAAATATAATACGTAGTACTACATAGTTGTGGGCTGATGAATAGCAGGGGTAATCTTTTTTGAGCTTATAACTCTTTCCACCGGTATTCTTCCGCAACTCCAGTAGCCTCCACAGTCCACATCCCTTCTCCATCGAACATCTCCCTTACCGAGTACCGACCATCGGAATACATCATTTCTCGATTCCACTTCCATCCCAAATTCGATTGATAAAAACCTCCACAGCGACGAACACCATACAAACACAGCATCCTCCAGTTTCTCCCTCATACTGTCCACCTCTCCCCCATTTTCAGTACTTGTCTACCCTTCAAGCAAAATCGCAGACCCTATCAATCTGTTAGCCGGAAGTATTCAACCTAGGAAAGGCGCCCGGTAACTACTTTGAAGCTTCTCACAATCCGAGCATAAGAGAAACTTTAATGGTTTGATTCCTATAATGTTTCGTTGATTTGAATGATGAACTGATTTTTTTCCCAAAGCAATGGACTGAAATTCATATATAATTTAGAAACGTCCTAATCGGAGAGCAGTAGGCTGGGCGCTGCTTAGAAACAACTAATCATTGTTGAGAAATTCATCTGCCTAATCCGATTATATTTCAATGCTCACAACCTAGAGTTTTGAATTGAAATCAATGAAAAAAAGAATTGAAATCAATGATTTAGCTGATGTTGCTGATATGTACCTAATCTGCTAATGTCTTCAGAATCTTAATACTTGTGTATTTTTCAATATTTAAAATCTCAAGTGTAAAAACAAATGTATAGCCTACCCATCTTCTAATAATTATAATGTAAAGTAATGAATTCAAACAAATAAATTTCTGGGATTGGTTAAAATAATTGGCATGCTTTTATCTTATACTAACTTATTTTTTCAAAAAATGAAACTGCGAATTCATGTCCATAGCTAAACTCTATAAAGTTCCCTATTATATTCTTCTCTATGTGCTATATATTAAAGACTCGGAATTAATTATTGGTGACTTCTACTCCAGCAAAGATCTTGATTTTGCTAACACTCACTGACTTAACAACTGTGTTTCAAAAATGACTCCTATTTGTCATCCTAAGTGTATCTATATGCCTAATCTATACTAATGAACTAAATTTGTAGTTCTTTTTCAGTATTTTTATTTCAATTTAGAATTAGAAGTTTAGAACACAATAACCTACCCATTTGTATATTAGGCTAAACAATGACTTCTGAAAGATAATTTATGAAAGATGAAAACATAGATTTCTAGGGCCTGGCTAAACTGTGCCCAAGTTGTACGGAATATATCTTATAATCTGCCAATATAATCTCTTGAGAGACTCAATGCGTTCATCTTTGTAAAATCAAAGAACTTGCAGCAAAGTTTTGCTTTTTCTTCTTTTGCTTTTTCTTCTTTTGTTTTTTCTTCTTGTGCTTATACTTCTAGATTGTATGCCTGTTTGCTTTCCTCCTTTCAGTAAGTAGTTCCTTTCCTTTCAGTATACACACACACACAACACATATATATATATATATATATACATGATTTCTATATTTTGATTCTTTTGTTTATACTCTGATCTGTACTTCTAAACTTGCATGCCAATTTGCTTTTCTCCTTTCAGTGTGCGTGTAAGTAATACTCCGTATATATATATATATATATATATATATATATATATATATATATATATATATATATATATATATATATATATATAGAGAGAGAGAGAGAGAGAGAGAGAGAGAGAGAGAGAGGGAAGAGTTCAAATAAAAAGACCTCTTCCCGTGCAAAGTGCGAAGATATGCACTTTTTCATGTTTCGCTTGCTTCTTTTCGTGTTTCTGTTGCACTTTTTCGCGGTGGCGAAAAAGAATGGTTTATTTACAAAATTGCCACCGCGATTTTGGACGAATTTAGTGCATTTTTGGATCATTTTGAGCCATTAGATGTGGAAATGAATGCACAAGATTCATTCTCACTTTGCATGGAAAGAACTCTTTGTATGTGAACCATCCCCTATATATATATATATTTGTGTCTGTGTATGTATATATAGCTAGACACACACTTATATATACTCCGTATATGATATTCTTTCTTATTGAAGGCTCAAAACATAAACGAAAGAGATTAGAGAAGAGGCAAATGATTCGTGTTCATTTGTGAATTGGTGCAAGTATTTATAGCAAAGAAATACTGGTCTTTTCCCATGAAGTTTCCATAATACGCTTCACATGTTCCAAGACACGCATGCCTCAATCCACACGTCCCAAGACACGCATGCTGCAGTTCACACGCCTCAAGACACGCATGCTTACTATTCAACCTTTTACTGTTCAATTTTGCTTTTAAAAATAGATCACTGGTTTTGCAATAAATGATCAAAAAGTTTTGAAAAGACACAATAAATAAAGCTAACTAATTCAAAACACCATTCGTTTTGTATTAAAGGACAAAAAAGTTTTGAATAGACATATTGCAACATCCAATTAATGCTTCGTACCCCACACACATTTAATGCACCACTGTGTCAAGCGGACTGCCCATGTTGACCCTGTATATCGACCCAACCCGTATGAGTACTGTAGGTTTGGGCGGGAATTTAGCCTGGCTTTCCACGGGTGTTTGTATATAGAAAGATTGTTGAGCATCCGGGAGGCTTTAGGTTGGTGCAAGGAACGTAGTTGAGATTGCGTGGATGTGGAGCCTGACACGTTACAGGCCATCAATGAGATTAAGAAGAGGGTGGTATTAATTCGTGTGGTCCTTGCGACATATATCAGAGATATTATGGTCTAAGTTGCTAGTGTGTCAATCTCTTATGTTAAACGCATACTTGTCACGGCGGTAAGTCGAGTCACGGCGCCGGCCAACTGCCATATCGCCTAGGCGATTAGGCGCCCGCCTAGGCGACAATTAGGCGACTAGTCGCCTATATATTTATATATGTCTAATTATGTATATAATTATATATATAATCATACATATAATTAAACTATGCAAAATATATATCATACATAGTATATATTAGTATGTACCAGTTTTTATGATTATTTTAACAGTTTATTATTTTATAATTTAGAACATATAATAAAATAGAAGTCTCACAGGTTGGGTTAACAGGGGCGGATTGAGTCTAGGGTCAGGGAGGGCCCAGGCCCATGCTCAAATTTTTTATTCCGTATTCTTTTAACTAGTATGTAGGTTTATAAAATAGGCCCTGTCTCAAATTTTAAAAAATCAGGCCCAGTCCGAGTACTCCAAAAAGCGGTGCGCAGGGAAAGAGCAAGAGCAGCGGAGCAGTCCCTTACTCCTGCTTTGCCGATATCGTGAAAACCCCACGCCAAAAACGAAAAACGAACTCCATATCGCCGCGACGGCCATCTTCACTGCCGGACGGCCAGGACAGGACGGCGCACGGCGGCTGCAGGCTGCTACTCTAAATCCTCTAATTTCTCTTTGTCATCAAACAAGCTAAAAGCTATCCCTCTTAATAAGAAGGTAAGGTGAATGTTACTGATCAATTTCTTCCCTAAATTCAGTAAACTAACAAATTCTTATGTATAACAGATACTTTTGAAGTTTTGAGAAGAGGAGATTTAGGGTTTTTTCGTAACATCAAAAAGGAGAAGTGCTGCCTAAGTCAATAAAGGCATAAGTGGTTAAGAGGTATTTTTTTAATCTTTTAAATTTTTTGTGTTTTTAATTCAAGTTAAAGACTAAATTACAGCTTTACTGGATATGAATTTGATTATTTTTTGTGAACTTGTAAATTGTAATGAATATTATTGTAAATTATGTAAATTTATGTATTGATATGAATCCAAGATTGTGTTTAAATCTTCCTGTTGCAACCGCTAGTGTTGAAAGAGTATTTTCAGCAATGAATATAGTGAAAGATAGGTTGAGCAACCAGATGAGTGATGACTGACTCAATGATAGACTTATGGTTTATGTAGAAAAAGACATCTTCTTGAAAATTGACAATGATGTCATAATCAAACGATATCAATCGATGAAAACCCGTAGAGAACAGTTGTAAAATTATGGTGTTTTTGTATTTGACTTTAATGAAAACTCTTATTCCTATAATCTTTTTTCTTGTCTTTGATTTTGTTGCTAGAATAAATGTTTTTTTTTTGAATATTCGTTTTTAATTACATTTTGGCCTCACCTGGATGCCAAAGCTAGATCCGCCCATGGTTGGGTATATCGTTATATCATATTATATCTTGATTCTGTGATATAGAAGTGTATATATACACATATATTGATAGATAGATGAAAATACACCCTTTATATATATATATATATATATAAATACATAACTTAATTAATTAAAATAATAAAAAAATGAAGCCAAGAAGAAGAGATCGGGGACTGGGAACTAGGGAGTCGCCTGCTACTCTGCTTCCGCGAGCGAGGGTCAAGGAGGGCCATACCTGCGACTTTGTCTTCTTCGTGGAGTTGTTCGTCTGCTTCCTACGACTCTACGAGGCTGCGACTTGGCTTGGCTATACGACTTTGCTCAACGAATCGTCGGTAAGGAAGATTACTATGGGCTTGCTTTTAATTAAAGCCTAAATCTATTTTTATTTTGGGTTCTGGGCCTGCGTCATAGCAGTCCGACTTTCCAAAAAGGCGAGGACTTCGACGCCAAAACAGTGCCTAGACGACGCCTAGACGACGCCATTCACGACTACTCTTCATCTGGTGAGGCGAGTGAAGCTGGCGAGCAGTCCCTAGCGCCAGGACGCCTAGTCGGCGCTAGGGTTGCCCACTTGTTAGCTAGGGTTACCGGTTTCATGTCTGATGGTTGCATTTGGTTTCATTGTTCAAATTGTATTCGTTGTGCTTTGGACCATGATTTATTGAATGAAAGCTAATTTGTTTCCTTTTAAAAAGCGGTATTTTGTATCGTCATGTAGAAGTTTTAAATTCTTAACCACTTATTGTTGGTTGAATCATGAATTCATGAATCATGGCACCTATACTGGCTATAGTTTTTAATTAATATTTGTACTGTCAAAAACAAATATATCCTCAACCAGTCAACCTATGACAGACGAAACACACATCCTATTCATCATTTATTTGACTAAAAAATCCGTCAAAGTAAGTTTTGAAAAGAAGGATGATAATTTGACATCCCATCTCAGATGGCCCAGCACCAGCCAGATAGTTATATAGGGATGTAAATTGAGCTTTGACCACAAATATTTAGATAGTGTGGCATTTAAGCCAAGTTTATTGCAAGTACCCAAGGTGTACGGATTTACCCATCTGTTAAGAACTTAAGATTTACATCCAAAGATCAACTATTTCCTCTCCAAGTCTTCAACATGTACATCAGTTAGTAATAAACCCTATTTTTTATTTTTTCTATGAAGCACAAGCTTTGAAAGTCTTCCTCCAGAGTTTTTTTGTCAAACAGTTCTCTTGCAGCCTCTATTTTTCTTAGTTTCACCTTCCATTGAAGTAGCATCCTCCTCACCTAAGACCAGGAAAGCACCAGGTGAGCTTTCTTCCTCCGCATCCAAGTTACAGGAGATAACACAGGGTCTTTTTAGATCGCAGCTTTTTGAGCCAAAAGTTGAGGGGAACATTGCACCTTCAACCATTTTTTATACTATGATGTGCACTTGTGCTCCTGCCGCCATAAAACGCCTTTTCCTTGAGAAATTGCCTCATCGCCACAAATTGTTCCATTAGCCACCAAACCAGGCCAATCGCTCATGATTTTATCATAATTTCTTTTTGAAGTATTGAAGCATGACAACTAGCCAACTAGGTTTATGAACAACATAAACTAAGGCTATGAACTTTTTCATTTTTACACATGTGTTGGTTGTTTGTATCTGGCAGTTTAGATCATTTGAAAGCATACCGGAAACATTTAAAGCTTATCTTTTATGTATTGTCAGATGGAGAACATATATGACCCAATTGCCAACATACCAGTCATGGAAACAAATGAAACAGGATCCATAGCTGATATGGAACATTACAAGTGCACTGTTGATGATTTGTCTGTAAAGATTGATCAGGTAAGGTCTTGTGGTGCACTAAGTCTTTGTAGTAAGGCTGGGATGTTGTTGGTGTTGTTCTTGGATTAATTCTTAAATAAATGTAAATGGATGCTGAGGGTATCATGATTTATAAGCCTGTTTGAAAGTTGTATATTACAACATTGCATGGATTATATAGAGTTGCATTCTCTTGATCTTATTTTTAAAACTTGAATGTATGGTGCCTTAGGAAATTCAATTATAAACTCCAAGTCAAAGCAATATCAAATTCAAGTTTAAGTTTAAAGTTTCATGGTCTAATTTGAAGTTTCAAGCTTTCATGTTTAAACTAACCTCAAACTCAGAAGTCATTTGAAGTTGAAGTTAATGCTCAAGTTCATATCGAGTTTTAAGCATTGAAATTGCAAATTTGAATTGTTTAAGTTAGAAGTTCAAGGGAGGTTCTAGAGAAATGAAGTTTAATGTTCGATTGAAATTTTAAAGTTCATGTTTCAAGTTTCAAATTTTCAGTTTTGAGTTGTTTCAACTAAAATTAAGGTCAAGAGGTTTCAAGATAAGTTGTAATTTGAAACTTAAAAGTCCACGTTACTCATCTTCAGCTTTGAGTTGTTTTAAGTTGAAAGTTCAACTTTGTAGCTGAAGTTCAAGAGGTGTTGAAGTTTGATTTTCAATTCTCAAGTCAAAGCATGGATCTCATGTTGTTTATGTTCAAGTCTAAGTGAAGTTGTAGTATTGGATGGCACATATGCTGTTTAGGTCAAAGCATGCGCACATATGTTGTGATTGAATTTGAATGTATATATTTTGATAATTGTAATTCCATCTTTTCTTTTCTCCCCTAACCATTCTCTATGTTTTTAATTTTTCTATGTTAAGGTATAGGACTCAAAAATTACTCGAATGTTTGTGTGTATGATAAACTCTGGTGTTTTTTGGTCATCTCTGGCAAATATACTATTTAAAAATTACTCTTATGGTTGTGTTCATCTCTCTTCAATTACCTTTCGTGATTTTTGTTCATCTAATATATGGTTTAAAAATGAATTATTAGTAAAGAATATGTCTGGTTTTAATTCATGGAACAAATTTAAGTATATTGTATTTGAGAGAGACCATCTTCATGTATTTTATTATTGTTGTTGTTGTTGTTGTTGTTGTTATGAGTAGTCAACAACATCCAAGCCTTAGTCCCAAAAGATATTTGGGTCGGCTAACATGAATCGATACATGATATCACAACCAAAAGGAAAAGAAGGAATAAAGATAAAAAGATAAGCTATTATGAAAAGATAATATAAAAAAGATGAATATATATAAAAATGATAAAATAAAAAGGCTGCAAATAATGCATATATATATAAGGATAAAAAAAACTAGGAAAAAAAAAGATGAGGGAAAAAGATTATCAAGATCACTCCTTCACGTGAATACCCGCCCTCCACTTAGTTCTCTCCAAAGTCATGCCCTCATCCAAACCCAGAAGAAGCATATCACTTCGAACTCACGTCTGTTTGGGTCTTCCTCTCCCTCTCTTCCCTGCCTCTTCTCCACACATCTCAACTCGCCTAACCCACGTCTGTTTGGGTCTTCCTCTCCCTCTCTTCCCTGCCTCTTCTCCACACATCTCAACTCGCCTAACAGGTGCATCACTCGGTCTTCTACGCACATGACCAAACCACCGTAGGCGCGACTCCCGCATCTTGTCTTCAATAGGTGCTACTCCCACCCTTTGTCTGATTGTCTCATTCCTCACGCGGTCCTTCCTAGTATGCCCACACATCCAACGCAGCATGCGCATCTCTGCCACACTCATCTTTTGAATGTGACATTGTTTCACCGCCCAACACTCTACGCCATATAGTAATGCAGGCCTAATTGCTGTCCTATAAAATTTACCCTTCAGTAGTCAAACATATAAAATTATGATGTTATTTTATATTTGGGTTAAGCTTTATTTTAATCCATGGATGTATTTCTCTATAGTAAGAGTTCAGTTTGGAGTTCAACTTATTACCTTTGCAGCTTGAGCAGAGATTTGCTGAAGTTGAACAGTTCTACTCAAGTGTGAGTAAAAAGCAGTCAAACACGCCAAGAGGGGGTAGCTCAGGTCAGAAGGATTTTGAAAAAGAGAAGCAGATAGCTAACTTTAAAAGGCGGCAGCAAGATGCATCACATCCGGAGGCTGCTGCTACCAAGAGGATGCAAGAGCTTATTCGTCAATTTGGCACAATATTACGCCAAGTAATGTCTCTTCTTTGAATGGGTCTTTGGTGATTCTTTGCTCTTATTTGTTTCCGTTATAAATCTCTGTGGCTACTTGATGATGGTGTGTAAGAAAACTGGAGTTAAAGAACCAATAATGGTTTTTGAATTTAGAAACACTTAAATTCGAATTCAAAAGGGTTTGTATGACAAATGCAGACGTCTGCTGAAATATCAATTATTGATGCTAGAAACTTCAAATGGGTGCAGATGGGGCAGGATGTTGAAAAGAGCATAGGATTCACCATTAGAAGTTTGAACACTGTGAACTGTTTGAAGAAATAACTTAAACAGTGTCCTTTGCACTTTTGGAGGGCGAATATTCATGTGGAGGATTGGTCTCTTTTCTCCCTTTTTTTCTTCTATCTTGTTATTTCTTTGTCCTTTTTATCCCTTTTATTTTATATACTCCGTATATTCTTTTTATCCTTTTTATCTTGTCATTTTTATCGTTATCTTATATTTACCTTTATCGTATCCATTTTATCCTACCTTATCTTTTGAATTAATTCCACTTTTGGTCATACAAGTTTTATGTCATTTCCACGTTTATTCCACGTCTTTCACTTGTCCACTTTTGATACTTCATTAGTGTTTTGTGACCATTTGTGGTCCTTTTGTCCAGTTTTCTGATGCCTCTCCGGCGATATTAACCACCAGAAATATTGAATGAAGGACCATGTATGGGTGAAAAACAATAGTCAAGATGTTTTACTTGGTCTGTTTTCAGTCCCACCAGTCTTGGATCGTTATAAAATACACAGAGAGCAGACATTTATCAGACCAGACCAGTTCACACCAGACCAGCAAATTTCAATCCAAGTAAAAACATCCTCATGTATCAAAAGTGGTCAAAGTCAAAGACGGGGGCTAATTGTGGAATTGGTGCGATACTCGTAGGACCAAAGAGTGGAATTTATTCTTATTTTTATCTTTCTTATCTTTCTTTTCTTTTTGGCTCCAATATCATGTATGAATTCATGTTTTCTGATTCCAAAATCTTTTGGGACTATGGCTCGGATGTTGTTGTAGTGTTCTTTGCACTTGGGTTCATAAAGCTTTTAACGTTTTTCCTAATATTCAATTGACTCCAATATAATTCTAAGAGAATAAGGTTAGTATCAATTGAGATGTATGTTGTGTCAAATACTCAAGTTTAATCAAATGAAAGGAAAAATAGATATTGACACAATTTCACACTGAAGGCAGAATGTATTTGTTTGCCATTAACATTTGTTTATTCCTATCTCTTGTTTGTCAGATCACTCAGCACAAATGGGCAGGGCCTTTTATGCAGCCGGTTGACGTTGTTGGTCTTGGTTTGCACGACTACTATGAGGTAATGACTGCAAAACTGTTTTGCTTTTATTAACTATGTATAGAATACCAATTATCATCATCATCATTTTCATTTACCCCAGTGCCGCAAAGGCTCCCACCTACGGTGGGGTAAGGGGGGGTCGGATGTACGCAGTCTTACCCCTGTACTAAAGCACAGAGAGATTGTTTCCGGATGACCCATAGTGAAAATCGCGTCCAAGATTGCATGGACTGACTGCTGCTCCATAACAAAGAAGCGCAGACAGTTTAGTGAGCCATTTTGCTTTATTCCATCATAATCTCAAGCCAAAAAAATAATGAATCTTTGGCTCCATTATTTTTAAATTGTAACCAATTATACTAATTTTGCACCTCTTTGCTGATTTATTGTCCTTGCGATTTGTCAGGTTATTGAGAAGCCAATGGATTTTAGCACAATTAAAAACAAAATGGAGGTCAAGGATGGTACAGGATATAAACATGTCAGAGAGATATGTGCAGATGTTCGGCTGATATTTAAAAATGCAATGAGATACAATGAGGAAAGGGATGATGTTCATGTGATGGCGAAAACCTTACTGGGAAAGTTTGAGGACAAATGGCTGCAACTTTTGCCAAAAGTTGATGAAGAGGTACAGATGATATTCCTTGAAGAGCGACGTTTCTGATTTGGTGTCGGTACTTCCATCCTAATCTATAATATCCTACTTGAAACAACTCAAATCTGGGAAGCAAACATCATGTCTAAAGCGCTCACAAACTAGAATTATTATCCAGTATTCCAATCTGGCCAAATAACCTGTTTTTGGCTTCTCAGTTCACACTTCATATTTTGATTCTTAGAAGTACCGTATGTAGGAAGAAACGAGAAAGAAAGAGGAGGAAGAGGCTCAATTAGATATGAAACTTGCTCAAGAGGCTGCTCATGCTAAGATGGCCAAGGAATTAAGTATAGAGGTACATATTTCTGTTCTCTCTCACCCAGGAAATAATGGGTGCTTCAAAATCTCTGTGATATGTGGCCTACTTCAGCATGTACCTTATTCTCTGACAGTTGTCTATATCCATTCAAAGTGCCTTTTTCATTTTATTTTTTAGCTTGATGATATTGACATGCACCTGGAAGAACTTAGAGAGGCGGTGCTTCAGAAATGCAGGTTTGGAGAACCTTTTTTGTAGATTATTATATACTTGTAACATACAAAGAGATTCTGTTCTGCCAAGTTCCTATCTGCTATCATTTTTTGTACAGATTAGTTTTGAGTGATAATCGCAGGCATTTTTACCATTTCTTAGTTTCTGTTCTATATGGTGGCAATCTTGGATAAAATAAGTTTGCTGGCTTGTGCATCTAAAATTTTGTAACATGTTGGCTGGGTTATTTTGCTCATATTAATAACCTTATCCATTCTAAATATTGTGGTGCATCAGAACCATAGATAGCCAACCTCAAAGCGATTCTCATTTGATTGTCAATTATGTTTCTTTCCAAAGTCTCTTCAATACCATCATAAAGTATTATCATATTATATACCGTTGTGTAGCGCAAGTGTGCAAGTATTGCTTACTAACTCCAAGCGGTTCTTATTGTCAATATCAGAAAGATAACTGTTGAAGAGAAGAAAAGACTTGGCGAAGCTCTCACTAAGCTTTCCTCAGAAGATCTCAACAAGGCATTATTAATTGTTGCACAGAATGATCCCAGCTTCTCCATAGCTGATGAGGAAGTAGAGCTTGACATTAGTACCCAGGTGAGGTGATAAATGAATGACAACCCCCTGGGTCCCTAAATTAATGCCCAATTTGACTTAAACACAATTGGAGCAAGTGAATACTGTGTGGCTGAAATTTAATTAGAAGAGGGAGGTAAAGTGTGTATCACATACTGCTTTCCTTAAAAGAAATGGGAAATAATTTCGGTGGCAGATGAAAAAAAGGAAAGTATGTAGATAATTTAGGAGTATCTTTTTTGTTGGGGATTGGAGGTGGGAATATATTGCACCCATTGGAGCTGAGATGATTGATTAAATACTTCGTAATTATGCAGAGCGAGTCTACCTTATGGAAATTGAAGTTTTTTGTGCAAGATGTGTTGGAGGCTCAAGGAAAGATAACCGGTGCTACAGAAGCAAACAACAATAAAAGCAACACTGTTAACCAAGCAAACAACAAGCGCAAAAGAGAGACCAACGAGGCCCTTGTCAAAACATCACAAAAAAAGTGTAAGAAGCCTTGATCTGAAGAAGCATATATGTATACAGCGCTCCCCTACATAGGAATGATGAAGAAGAAGCGTTTTGGCCTTGGCAAGTAGACATCATAGGAAATGAGCATACAGCCTTGACATGCTCAAGACAGAGCAAGTAAAATGATGGCATCAACATCTTCTATAGTATTTCAATTGGTTTCAGTCATGGTTGTAGACTTGTAGTATTGATCCATCCATGTAAATATTGTCATATTAGTTGATTCAGATTTGTTGCTCTCCGCTTTTATAATAGCTGTTTGTTTTATCCCTCTCACCAAGTCAATCTAATTCTATAATTTTAAAATTTGGGTTGGGACACCCTATGAATTAAGGTTTTTCCATGTAAAGATGTGTTCATATCAAGGTAGAACTTGGGCTCCTATAGGATTAGAACTGGAATAGAGTAGATAAAAGAATTGAGCTAGTGCCCGTGTTCCAGTTACAAACTGGAATCAGTTTAAATCGCTTCTGGTTCTCCATAATAGGTTCAGAAGCCAACTAGTTTTGTTTTCTTCAAATAGTTTAATAACCTGAACAGAAATTGGTTTATCAGTTAAGATCTCATTTTTCAGTTATGTTGTGGTACAAAAAAGCATATTTGAAATACTATCGATTTTTTATAATTACAAAATAGTTTTTCCAAGATTTTTGAGATATTGAACTATTAGCTCTTTTTTCCAAAATGCAAAAGTGCAAAAAAAGTTAGGGTTGGATTCGGTTCGGGCCACCCGGCCCGTGACCCGGCCTGGCCCGGTACTGTGCGGGCCCGGGACCGGCCTGGTCGGGCGGTCCGGGACTGGGTATGGACCTGAACCGGTGGGAATGGGCGGGGCGGGCTCGGTGCTGGATTAATGTGACCCGGCCGGGTCAGGCCCGGGCCCGGGTCTGGTCTTATTTAAGAAAAAAAAAATGTTTGGGCTCTTGGGCTACTAGCCGTTGGGGGTGGGGCTGGGGACAACCCAAACGGTTATATAGCCGTTGGGTGGGGTAAAGGGGGGGGTCCGGGGGGTTGGCTGGTGGGGGGGTGGGGGGTAAAAAAACCTATAAATACTCAAAACCTATTAACCGGCTCGGCCCGAACCGGACCTGACCCGTGACCCGGGCAGGTGGCCCGGCCTGAACCGGACCCTTCCAACCCTCAGGCCGGTCCCGGGCCCATGTGATACGAACCGGAGGCCCGGCCCGGGCCCGACCCGGCCCGAATCCATCCCTATGCAAAACACCTGAATTTTTATAAAGACTGGTGTTTTTATCCTTCGTATAACCAGTTTTATCCTTCGCATAATCACATCCACACTTCAGTTCACAAGGCCATCACCCAAATCCAGGCGACCAAGCCATTCCCAAACAGCGAAAAATTGTGCATTAAACTCTTATAATGATGATATAAATGCAAGATCAAGTACTTTGGTGGAGTAAAAAATAACTACAAATATCTTCTTATAACTTTATATTATTTAAAATTATTAACGGTAATTATTATGACTATTTAATACAGGATGTAACATACAATTAGTGCATCTTTAGATGGAACTTTATTGAATATCAAGTTTGTGTCTTACATATTTTAAAAGCACAACATTTTATTTTATATACGAGTATTATATTTAAAGTAGTGACCCCAAAGACTTTACACTATTATTAATAGGGGTTAGTACTTTTATAAAAGCAAAGTGACCCCAAAGACTTTACACTATTATTGCCAAACTTTACTCCTTATACTATAAGGTTGCCTTCCAAACACTACAATTTATATGTAAGAGCAAAGTCATCCGTACATTAGTTTACCCAGAACTCCTACATATTTGCTCAAGGATGTTTAGTTAGAATGTAATGGTACTTTAAACCTAACTTGCTGCTTGATATTTTGTATTGACTTTGCATTCAGTGTATTATGGCATCATTTGGGCTATAACATCTTTCTTGTTCGTTGATGCGCCAGACAATGTCAAGTTCATGAATGTGAGAGAAGAGGGAGATTGATGAGAAACTGAGAAAGTAATTGCTTGCACTCAAATCCGAGGAAAAAGCGTGAAGGATCTTAATTAGAGTGGACTTGTGATTTGTGAATAAACCACTCTTCTAATCTTGATCATCGACTTAATTGATCCAATTATGAGGGTTCCAACTTCCAATTAATCGTCTTGTTTGCCTTTCACCGATTAACAATCACATGGTGTGACTAGCGGAGTGAAGAAGTGTTTGATAGATTATTCTTTGCTCTTAGGCTCTTAGCATTTACCCCCCTTCTCCGCGCACCCCATTAGGTACTAGGCGCGCCAGTTTTTTTCCTTAGTTGGACTGTTTTGTCCTAAGGTTGCAGCGTCACTCCGGAATGCTCGATTAGTGGATATGTCTGCTCCTTTTTTTGCTCCTTGTTACTCGCAAATTATACCGTGGGATCGGCCCACCATGCGCATGGTGTGCCAATCCCAAAACGGTGTCGTTTTCCATTAAAAAAAATTAGGTTCGTTTTTCTGTTTTCAGTTGCAGCCGACTTCTTTCTTCCGCTTCCTTCTTCCGTTTTTATTTCACTGAGCTTACGAACCTGATTTGCCTTCAAAGGCTTCAATGGATTTCTCTCTAGATGATTCAGCTGTTGTGAATTCATTGATTGAATTCGGAGATTCTATTCCTTTTACTATACATGATAACGTGATTCCTTCATCCGTTGACAATAATTTTGAATGTGATCAGCCGGTTCATATCGAGCACATTGGTAAACATTACAGTTTTTGAGTTTTGTGAATTTAATTTATCTTATTTATGCTTGCAGTATGCTGTAATATGTTTTGTTTTCTGTTTTATCTTATTGCTTTAGAATTTGGAGTGTAGTATTCATATTGGTTGAATTTTGTTGTTTTCCTTTCAGGAGAAGATGAAACTGGTTCAATGGCTTCTAAATTGTTACATCTTCTTAGTAGAGGTACTTTTCCTGTCATGTGATTCAATTTTTGTTTTGTTTATTTTTTGTTCGATGTCGTGTCATTTTATTTCAATTGTATGTAATTTTTGTTTAGTTTTATGTAATTTGGTTCTTCGTTTTATGTTTGCAGTATGCTCTAATATCTTGTTTAATAATATGTAAATTACATTCAAATCTATGCAACTTCTTTTCTAATGTATGTAACTTGCGCTAAAGCTTATGTAACTTTCTGTTTTGTTGTATGTAACTTTTGTTCTACTGTATGTAATTGAACTGTACCTTTATGTATGCAACTATTTTATGTGCCTTGAGTTAAGTTTTATGTAGCTTTATGTTTATTAAAATGTAACTTTAGTTTAAGTGTATGTAACTTATGATCAACACTATGTAACTTGTATACAATTGTATGTATCTTCTTTAGAGTGGTTTGTTTTTCATATATCACCTTTATGAATTGTCAGATACATTTGCAACTATTGACAAGGCAACCGAGAATAAATCACTTGTTGGATTGTGTGTTAAATCTGAAAAGGATGCTTATAATCTTTACAAAAGTCATGCTTTTGAAAATGGATTTGGTATTCGAAGATGCAAACAGAGGTTTAGGAGTGGCAATGTAAGTTTGATTATGAAGTCTTACTGTTGTTGGAAAGAAGGGAAGAAACTACAAAAGGGCACTGAAAACAAAATGTATACGAAATTAGATTATCGTTCAGGTTGTAAAGCAAAGCTGCAGTTTTCTATTAGTGTTGATGGTGAATGGACTGTTTCAAAGCATATTACTGATCACAACCATTCTTTTTGTCCAATTGGTCAAAGACACCTTCTCAAATCACATCGAGGTGTTGATCATGAGTATCTTGAATTTATTATGTTGATGAAGGAGAGCGGGACAAAGGTTTCTGATATTCACCGTATGCTTCAAAAACAGGCAGGTGGGGTTAGTGCTCTTGGATTCACCAAACGTGATGCTTATAACGTTCTAGAATCTGAAAAGAGTAAAACGTTTGATGGTAGTGATTCTAACACTTTGATTTCTATATTGAAGAAAAGGGCTGAAGTGGAATCTGATTTTTACTTTGATTTTGAAGTAAATGAAGGTGTACTAAGTTGTTTTTTCTAGAGAGATGACCAAATGAGATCAGATTATGAGAGATTTGGTGATTTAGTCGTGCATGATACAACTTACAGGACTAACAAATATGACATGATTTGTGGTCCATTTGTTGGTATGAATCATCACTGTAAGAATATTATGTTTGGTTGTGGCTTTATGTTGAATGAAAAGGTGGAGTCATTTGTTTGGTTATTCCAGACTTTTTTGAAATCTATGGGGAGTAAACACCCTATCACGTTTATGACAGACCAATCATTTTCAATGGCAGCAGCTATAAAATCAGTTTTCCCTGAGTCAAGACATCGACTATGCACTTGGCATATAGATGAGAATTCGAAAAAACACATCATGTTTCTACGGAAGAAGATAGATTTTGTTCCTCTATTTGATTATGTTGTCAAACGATGTGACACAGTTGCAGAGTTTGATTTCTACTGGTCTGAGTAAGTTATTTGTATTTTGATGTAACCTCTTACTTATTCCGTGTAACTTGTTCATTGCGTTTGTGTAACATGTGTTGCTTTAGTATGTAGCTTTGTGTTAGTTTTTTACTTGGTTTCAGGTTGAACAAAGTGTATGAATGCAGTGACAATAAATGGTTAAAAAGGCTCTATAGTCATAAAGAAAAGTGGTGTCCTGCATTTTCAAAGGATTATTTCTCTGGCGGCGTTCTATCCTCCCAAAGAAGTGAATCTACAAATAGATCCATATCTAGAAGACTCTCAAAAACTGCAACATTGTGTGACTTTTACAAAATGTTTGGTGATGTTGTTGATGAGTGGAGGTCAGAGGAAAATGGTCAAGATTTCAGATGTTCAGAAGGCACCGTTGAGATGGTACTGCTGCAAGATAGTATTTTGTCACATGCTAGAGATGTGTACACCCTTGAGATATTCAAACTGTTCCAAGAACAATATTTGAAGGGTATGTCACACTTTTTTAAATTAATGACAGAGAATTCTCATGATTATGTGTATCATGTTTGGTTGAACGGTGTAGATTTGATTAGGCACAACGTTACTTTTAATGGAAATGACAACACAGTGACATGCAGTTGTAAGATGTTTTCAGAAGTTGGCATTTTGTGTAGACACATATTGCGTATATATATCATCCATTGTGTGAAATGTATTCCCCAAGTTTATATACTCCCCAGATGGACAAAGGCTGCTATTTTGCAACATGTTAATCCTCCTTTTACTCAAGGAAGATATCTTATGTGTGGTAAAATAATTGAAGATTCTGTTTGGAGAGTGCAAATGACTAGAAAATTCAATACCATATTGGGTGCAAGTGCTGGTCTACCTGAAGCTAGGCAAGTATGTGAGGAAGGGTATAAATCTATCAAACAATTTTTAAATATTCAAAACAATGTTTCTGGTGTAGATGAATTGGGTTCTGATCCAAGGACAATACTTGATCCTCCACGTTCTCGTCCTAAAGGTCAGCGAAATACACGGAAGAGAAGCATCGTTGAAAAACAGTGCAAAATAGTCAAAGGTCGACGTTCTAAATCTCAAAACGTTGCAAGTAATTCAAAAGGAGTTGCACAATCTGTTGTTCAGGTATTTTCTTATTTTTATATGTTTTTTCTTCTTTAATTCACCTTTACTGAAGCAATTATTTTTCTTCTTGAATTCTAGGACACAGTCAGTTCTATGGTTCCACAAGGTTATCTTGTTCATCCAGTTGGAGGAATGACTTCTTTGATGAGTGTGTTTGGATCTCCACAAGTTTTAGATCCATACTTCATGCAATGTAATGCAGTTCACCAAATGCGGAATTAGTTTTAGTGAAATAAGTTTTTCAGAGACATGTTATACATTTGTTTTTGTTTTACTGTAAAAGTTGGAGACATTAAATATTTAATTGTTGCTGGTTACATTTCTATTTAATGATTTACATTTGTTTTAATGGCATTTACATTATCTTTACTGTTTGTTAACATTGTGTTATCCTTTGGTTACATTTCTGGTTATGTGAGTTACATTTGTTTTTATGGCATTTACATTACCTTTGCTGTTTGTTAACATTGTGTTATCCTTTGTTTACTATTATGCTTAAACTTAAATTTATTAACACATTAAGAGATTAAGAGAATTTAAATCTGAAGTTAACATCAGGTTCTTTTCAAATTACATCTGAATTCAGCAGCAATTACATCTCAAATAAACCGCAGTTACATATCAAATTAAGAACAATTACATCTCAGTAAACAAAAGTTACATAACCAGAAGTTAACATCAATTACATCTATAAAAACAGAAGTTACATCTCAACTTAATAACAATTACATCTTTCATTAACAACATTTGCATGATTTTTTTTTTAAAAACACAGTCAACATTATTTCGTAAATGATTTTAATGATTAAATATACTTCAACAATTCCTAAAGCCCGTTCTTTGCGATTCAGTTCTATCTGTGAAAATAATTTACATAAGTCATCACGCGAGTTACATAGTTGTTATACACTTTTTGCATAAGATATAACCGAAGTTACATCTTACATAATCACTTGAATAAAGCACTCTGGAGTCTTTATAGTAGTTTTGAGTAACGTACTAAGACACATAATTCACAAACTTAATAACATACATAACATACACAATTTTAATAATCCAAAGTGACATAGATCATACATGAAAGTTGCATAATGTACTACACTAATAACAAACCAGAAATCTTGAAATGTTTTAATAGAAATTCATAATCTATTGGAAATATATATTCTTCCACCTTCCACCAATAATATCAAATAATGTTTTGAGATACTCACAATATTCTGCCACCTTCGACCTGCCACCTTAAAAACGAATGTACTTTTAAAAAACAGACCACTCAAAACAAATAATGTTTTGAGATACCCATAATATTCTACCACCTTCCACCTGCCACCTTAAAAATGATTGTACTTTACATATTTATGAAGTCTTTTGCTCTTTTATAAACATTTTCCCTTTCCATGTTGAATTTTGAGCTTATGATTTCTGCTGCATAGACAAGTCTGAGCTTCTTCAGTGTTTGTTTCTGAGCTTTTATTCCAGCAGCTTTAGATGCACTTGGGAATCCAGAATCCCACTTGTCTCCCTGTCCACGATATGTTTCCAAGTGACGCATTACAAAAATGCCACAGTCAACATAATTCCCATTGTACCTCCATGGCATATTCAAAATTCTAGGGTTCCATGTGGTCATTCTTCCAGCTGGATGTTTAATCTTGTTGCAGTACTTTTTAAAACCTTCCACCTATTTTCAGGATATGCATTATCACACTAATACATTTACAAAATAATAAATTTAACAATGCTTGATATTTCTGTAATACATGAACATAAGTTTACCAGTTGGTTAAAGCTCTCCTCATACTTGTCTTTAAACTCCAACCTGTCTTCAAGAATTCTATTGTCTATGACATCAACTACATTCTTGTTTGTATAGAAGCAATAAATATAGTAGTGCTGACTTCTGTGTACAGGAAACAAGACCTGCAATTCATAAAAAGCATTCATTAGTTAATTATTTCATAGTGAATCATTTCATTTATCTTTTTCAGTAATAATAACATTTTACCATATCATAATCTTTGAGATTTCTTTGTTTATCAACTTCAAATTCCAACCTCTCTACCATCATGTCTTCTTTGTTTGCATATAACACTGCAAATTGTGCCTGTTTATTATCAACCATGGAAATGAATCAGAATAATGAATATTTTTTTATTTATTCAATGAATAAGAAAAATGTTACGTACATAGACCAATGTAGAAAGTATCAGTGCTCGTTTGGGAGGATTGTTTGTGTGTTCTCTGTCATTCAGTAATTTTACCCATGCATCTATTACTGAATTGTCAACTTCTTTGTCATCTTCAAGTGTTTGGAACTCCTCATGGTTCAAAAACAGGCTTGAGTTATCATTATACAGCAATTCACTAAGACAATAACACTGGTTAGTAAACAATTGATTCAATAGCAAGTTCTTTTCAAAGTACATCTGAATTCAACAGCAATTACATCTCAAATAAATCTCAGTTACATATCAAATTAACAGCATTTACATTTCAATAAACAAAAGTTACATATCAGGTTAACATCAATTACATCTCAAATAACAGAAGTTACATCTCAACTTAATAACAATTACATCTTTCATTAACAGCATTTGCATGTTTTTTTTTTAAAACACAGTGAACATTATTTCGTAAATGATTTCTATGATTAAATAAAAAAGTTAAATTTTATAAATACAATTCAAAAATTTCTAAAGCCTGTTCTATCTTTGAAAACAATTTACATAAGTCATCACACGACTTACATAGTTTTTATACACTTTTTGCATAAAGTATAATCGAAGTTACATCTTGCATAATCACTTGAATAATGATATATATAATAAAGAACATCTTACTTTCCAACTTCCTTTGAAAATGCATAGTCAATCACCATTTTTTCTTCCTTCCTCATCTCCTTGCACAGCCTGTGGTTGTGTTTGAGATATGGTGACCTGAATTTCCATTCTGTATCAGCTGCCTTAGATGCATTTTTCAGCTTCTGCCTTTTTGCCACAGTTGCTGTCATCTTCACTTCTTCTTCTACATCTTCTTGCTCTTCAGTTACAACATCCTCTTGATTTCTATATTCTGCTTCCCTCACTCCTCCTTCAAGTATCTCAACCATTTCTTCTTTGTTATTTTCTTCTTCTATGTTTCTAGCAATCTTCATAATTGGGTCTTCAGTCATTTGAGCAACTGGATTCTCATTTGTTGAATTTTTTTCATTTTGAGAAGGTTGTGTCATGCTGAACTCAATGCCCAGATCAAATGAAGGCATTGAGAACTTCAGATAAGCAGCTTTTTCTAATCTATCTAGGGCTTCCATTACCCCTGGTATATTGAAAAAATCATCGTCCTCATCAAGAGTGCACTTTTCTGCCAACCTCTCTTTTTCTGATTCCTTGGCACTGTCATTAGCTTGTCTGAAGAAGTAATCAGCTGTTGTCAAGTATATCTTTTTCAAGATGTCGGAATTGGGAAATCTTTTAGAAATTGTTGCTGGAAGTTTTGAGAATTCCACAAAAGCATCGCTGAACTTCTGTGCAACAGCAATTATTTCTTTGACACAGTCCTACAAAAATTAAATTTCATTTGTAAGTTTCATATACCATTAGATATGAAATATAAGCAATGTAACTTATGATCAATTGTATGTAACTTTAGTTCAAGTATATGTAAGTAATGATCAACAGTATGTAACTTCCATAGTGTGTAGCTCCAGTGACATAAGTGAAGCAACTAACCTAGATATAGTGTTTATTTAAAATTTACCTCTTTAGAAATCATCTCTTCATCTTCATTTTGTTCTGTATTGGCTTCTTCATTTTCTTCTCGTTCTTCTTTCTCTTCATCAGCTATCATAATTCGTGGGATCACCTTCCCGAGCCCGAATCCCAACTTCCTCTCATCTTTTATTCTCTTTTCAATTCTTTCTTTGCTCCAGATTCTGATTGTTGGATAAAGAGTATCCAAAACCTGACCTTTAAATTGCACTCTATCGAAGTAGCAAATCATCAGAAACGGCAACGGTCCAGTGAACATCTTTGTTGGCTGAGCTTGCCATTCTTCTCCAACATCCATTAATGATCGTCTTGCATACTTGCACCAGTTCAAGTTCTTGATTTCATTAACTTTTATCAGAGAGAGCAAGATCTTGAAGTTGCTCTTTATACTCTGATTGCCTCTGATGAGGCATGAAACTGTGAACACCACAAAATTTCTCTTAAAAACATCTCCACAATCATCATCATCAATGATTTTTTGGATCATTTTTGTTGTCTATGGGCT